TGATCTTGATCCTCCACAAAGCTGAAGCTTTCAACAGCTGTGTACCTTAAGATGGTGGGGATCAGTATGATCATTGGTCAAACGCATACGTTCAAATGATAAAAGGTTCTTACTTACCTACTGAGGAATAAATGTTGCCACGGATTTAGATAGGAAACTTTACCATTGCAGTGAAAGCGAATGTGTCGAGCGTAGCATCAGATAAAAATTTCACGTTGAGAGTTTGCTCGCGGCGTACAGGGCTTTAGTTTACATATTAATGGTAGAGTCCTACTATCTCAAATCCAAACCAAATGACATTATGTTTTATTCGTACTATGGTACAAACACTGTCGTTTTCTGAAACCAATGCGGCACAAGATGTGTAGAACACTCCACTAGCTTTCTGACACTAAGTACGGTCTAAAAATTAATGGCATCTTCAATCAGTGGGAGGTATCCGTTGACATCACTTAGAAGTCTAAGTATATCACATCGAATCTGATAATATGGTCATCCATGCAGGACAGATAATACACGACCGGAGTAATGTTTTCTCTGCCTTGAATCTCCTCTGGAATTGAAGCACTTGCCTCTTTTTTTTTTTTTTTTTTTGCATCAGATTTTAATTGCGTATGCAGCTATCTAGCTATGACACAATATCAAAGAAAAGTACAGAATAGATGATTCATCGTTAAGGAAGAGCACTCATGCCTCAGATTTCATTTGCAAGTACCACTGCGAAGTTATGGCGGCTTTTTCTTCACCCTAAATCAACCCTCATCCGTGAATACCCACCCAGGGGAACGTCTCAAAAACCCTGAGTTATCCAGACATGCCTCCATCATCTTTCAACTTTTCTCCGCGCGATATGTGATCTGAGGTGTCTCCTTCCCAAGTGGAGTAGGTGCCCAGGCTACTCAAACTATACCGGAGAACACCACCAGGAGGCGGATCACTACACCTTCCATCGTTTGCTTGTGTTTATAGTGTCAGCTGCACTCTCGCAAGCGAAGTCTTGGCGCGCACAAAGCCCAATTCGAAAAACTCCTTGCCAAAATTCGGAATCTCATGCCCTTCGAGGTTATATCCGTCCTTCGCATCATCTTGTCAACTTGTCCAGATCCCTCTCACATCCATCCCAAAGAACTGTCTCCCAGATTTGTGCGCCACGCCTTGCATCCTCCGGCGGGTATAAATATCGGCGTGGGCGTGTATTTGGTGACCAGCTGAGGCCAGAGAAGGTCGAAGAGTGGTGTGGTCATTGGAATGAGGATGTACTTGGTCGTACTTGTAGACTCGATGAGACGAAGATAGGAGTCAAACTCGTTGGGAGCGAAATAACGACGTGGATGAGTAATTTGGATTTTTGCCTCGTGGACCAACTTCTTTGATATTGCGAAATTTGACTGAACTTGGCTCTGGGAGAATATTTCACTCCCAGGTTCGTAGAGGACACCGCGTACAGGTGTTCAGTCTTGCCCTCCGAAGCACTTGCCTCCTAGCAACCTATTCATAACAGGCTTGAATAATGCAGTCATTGTCGAGATTTAGACATATCGCACCGAATTGCACGCAATACCGTGTAGACGAAGTCTACTTATCTACAATCGTATTCAGCTTAGGTGAGGTTTCGGTTGGTAATGATCTCGATGGTGAGAATGTTATTCCATCACGTAATCAGAACATAATTTTTCCTCCGAGATGAGATAGAAAAGAGAGAGGGATAGGTATGTTTATTGTACTACTTTAGACTTAGACTATCTAGCACATTGAGCTCCTCTCCGGCCCAGGCCACACCTTGTAAAGTGCTCCTATACTCCTATGTTACTTATGAGATCATCGAGTTATTGCCCGTCATGTATAGCCATTCAGCTCAGTATTCACCCATGGAATTTGGCTGCCTTTTCCACGGAAGAATAGAGATAGAAAATTAGTTTATTGATTTAATCACCTCACTTTGGCGCCCTATGGGCCCATGCAGGTGGTTACAAATCTATCTATATATTTACTTAGGAGGAATCCTCACAATGTAATATTCTCCAACCTTCTAATTTATTAATTTAATTTGCGATTTGTCCTTCAGGAAGCAAGATTACACTGTAATGCCATCTTTGTGTACCAATCACTTCCCTTGTATCGATACCCACCTTGTCTCCGTCCGGTCTCTTTCTCTAAGCAGCTTGTCGACTGAATTTGTCAAGCGGAGTTGTTCTATCCAACCATAACTAAGGATTCATCACGTAATCCTTTTAACGTCGCTAGCATTGTTTATAGTTGCTTCAAAGAGCGTTTTCGAGATTTTCTCCAAATGTCTCCTCTACTGATTGACCACCAAGGGCAGGACACGATCATGGGCATGGGCTTTTGTAATTGGTAGCCAGACAGACAACATGGGTAATAGCCATTAGGTACCTTTCTTCTGTTTAAATAAGAATGAAGCCCGATGTGGAGAGCAAGACTGAACACCTGTCAGTGGTGCTCTCTACGAACCTGTGATTGAAATATTCTCCCAGAGCCAAGTTCAGTCAAATTTTGCAATACCGAACAAGTTGGCCCACGAGGCAATGATTCAAATTACTCCACCATGTCAATCTTTCACTCCCAAAGAGTTCGATTCTCAACAAAGCTTCATCAAGTCTACAAGTACGACCTAGTACATCATTATCCCAATGACCATACCTCTCGTCGACTTTCGCTGGCCTCAGCCGGTCACCGAATACACGCCCACGCCGATGTTTATACCCGTCGGAGGAAGCAAAGCGTGGAGCACAAATCTGGGAGATAGCTCTTTGGGATGGGCGTGAGAGGGATCAGGACAAGTTTACAAGATGATGCAGAGGATAGATACAGTCTCGACGGGCGTGGAATTTTGAATTTTGGCAAGGAGTTTTTACAAATTGAACTTTGTGCGTGCCAAGCCTTCGGTTGCGAGAGTGCAGGCGACACTAAACACCGTCATGGTTGGATGGTGCAGTGGTACATCGTTTTGGCCGGTCTGCCAAGTAGAGTCTGGATAGCTTAGACACATATCCCACTTGAGACAGTAGATCGCTGGTTCAAATCAGGCAAAACACAACCACTTTTCTCGCGGCGCTGGTATACATGGATGACGAAGGCATGCTTGGATAACCAAAGGTTTCGAAATTCCCTTTGGTGGGTACTAACGGAGGAGGGTCGACTGTTTGTGTAAGCAAGCATACCTCATAGTGGTATTTGCGAATGAAATCCAGAGTATGAGTGTCTCTAATTTCAAAAGAGTCATCCAACATGTATGCATGGCACCGGTCATGTGTCATGGCTCCATAGCTGAATATAATTTAAATGATAAAAAACAAAATGAAGCCCGTTGTGCTCGCTTCGAATTTGTACCGCTAGGCTACTTTGGGCCCATGTCGGGTTTTTTGTGGAGGAAAAATGGAGATCCCTGGAAGCTTATTCTATGTCGTCCAGAATGTCGGCATTGATAGAACTTATCTGCTCTCCAAGTTCCGGGATCTGCTGTACAAGAAATTTGAGGCTATCGAGTTCGCATTGGGGTGGACCAAGATTTCGGTCAAGCTAGATTTACTGCAACCTTTGCCGCTTGGGTAATAAGTATTATTTTAACAACTCATACTTTAATGAAAAAAATCAATTAACTAAAACTTCACTGATCTTATTCTTTTATGTCCGATACTAAATTCTCCACTATTTTACAATCCCTAAAGTACTGACTTGACGGACAATGTTCAATTCTATCATTCCAAGTATCTCCAGAACTTTAAAAGTCATGACACTACCTAGGCTAGTCTCCAAGATAGTTGAGCAGCTTGTTTAGGTATTTCAATAGTGACAGAAGATCTTTGTGGCGATTCAAGCAAGCTGGCATCATATTTCTACCAGTGACTTTATCCGCGTTGAATGAAGTATATTTTATAGCAGGAAGAATGTGATACTCGCCCAAATGAATTTCTATAGACGCGAACTGTGTCGGCTACTTAAGCAGCCATGCTTAAAATATGGGTTTCGCCGTTTATACATCATGAGGCGAGCTCGATAAAATACAAACGTTCTGGGTGTACCTAAAGGACGACGCTGATTATTTTCTGTCCAAGGAACCTTTACCTACAGCATGTACTTTTATCAGGTACTAGCAATTAGGGCTCGAGAAGACATTAAGTTTTGGTTGCGGGATTGAAAAAGTTGCTAGTTGCTGCACTACTGGGTCCATAAATTTCATGATTGGCGACCTTTACTATCAGTTGGCTACTTATGATTTGTTTAAAGATATTAAGAGATATATTATGTCTTATCACGGCCTAGAAGCTGAATGCAGGCCTCCTGTAGGAACCATCTAAAAATGAAAGCAACGAACTATAACCGATCTGTTTTCAATTACTATGATTTCTAAAGAATCATCTCCGTCGGCAGCCCGTTGAAAACCCGGCTGAATACAAGTGCATTAATATGGTCTGATATAAATGAAAATCTGAATTTTTATCAAAATTATTATGAAAGCTTGGCCATACAAATCTTTGACGATTACACTATGCAAGTCTAAATCAAAGTACTATCAGCAATAGTAAAGCAAATTTCTGAAGCCGCCTATGTTAAACGTGTCATCAGATGAATGTTAGTGGTAATGGTTGAAAATCAATGAAACAAAGAAGTCACTCACGTCCACCACCTTGCACATTTCTTGCCTTCCTTAGGTAGGATGACAGTAGTGGAATGAGTGCTCTTCCTTAATATTGAGTCATCGATGATATACTTTCCTTTGATATTATGTCGTAGCTAGATAGCTGCATACGCAATTAAAATCTGATGCAAAATAAATGTCAGCAGTGGCTGGAGCCGACTCGGGTAACTTGCTGATAAGATAATGCTTCTGAGGTTGAGGCCTGTCCACACTCGCGGAATCAAGTGCCATGTCACGTGCCACTCGCTAAGCCCACAAACCTAAGATTTTGAATTGTTAACCACAGAGAACATACAACAAGCGAACGAAAACACGACACCATCCGAAGCGGTCCATCACAATGTCGGCATCTTTGGAAGCTTCGAAACCCACGGCTACAATCAAGACCTTCGGAAAGTCGACAAGGGAGGTTCCTCACCACAGTCAGAAGGCGAAGCAATGGTACCCTGCTGATGATGAGCCTCAGCTCAAAAAGGTTGGTTCCCTCCTCTCCACTCTCAAGACGTACGCGACAATTTTTATGTCCTTGGGAAAACAGACCGAGAAGATAGCACCAATTAACTCTGCCGTCAGATTCGAAAATCTATTCGAGCATCAACCCCGCGCCCAAGTCTAACCCCTGGCACAATTCTCATTCTCCTCGCCGGGCGCTTTCGAGGAAAGCGCGTCATTCTTCTCAAGAACTTACCACAGGGTGTCCTGCTTGTAACTGGTCCGTTTAAGGTGAATGGCGTTCCTCTTCGACGAGTCAACGCCCGATACGTAATCGCCACATCTTACAAGATTAACCTGGCAGGCGTTGATCAGAAGAAAATCGACGAGGTTTCCGGCGATAAATACTTTGCTTTGGAGAAGGGCGAGAAGAAGAAGGGTGAAGAGGCTTTCTTCAAGCAGGGCGAAAAACCAGAAGTAAGCCCAATTCTGATTAACAAAACTTAGGGTTCTAATTCTACCACAGAAGAAGAAACCATCAAGCAGCCGCGCTGCTGACCAAAAGGCTGTCGACAAGACACTCTTAGCTACTATCAAGAAAGAGCCCTTCCTTATAGGCTACCTAGGAAGTACCTTTAGCCTACGAAAGGGAGATCGTCCGCACGAGATGGCGTGGTAATTGGGTAAGGAACTCGGAGTCGAATAGGAAGCAAGGAAATAACTAGCGACTTTGTTGGCAAGCTACATAGGGGTACTGGGATAGTCAGCCTGTGCGTCTTGTATCCAGTCTTACAGTTACCAAAGTCGTCAAAATTCATGAATAACGGCTCCGTAGGAACCAGTCGCGTGAGTATATGTAATAAATAACGCATCTGATCTACCTAAAGTTGAACTAAATTAAGTGGTAGATGATTAAGATCTGCTAGGGAATGTGAAAATCCAATGATACGGGTTAGAATAAACATGCAAAATTTACCTTGATATGAAAACTTGTGAGAGAGAATATTGTAAGAGCACGCTATTGTGACTAATCCGGAGAATGGAAATGAAAGTGTACATGGTTATGCGAGCATGCATATTGGAATGAGCTCAAGCTACTTCCTCAATTGAGCAAGACGTTAATGGGGCCTCAGAAGTCTCTTTCCTTTGACTGGAAGAAGGATTCGATTATGAATAGTTTGATCCAAAGTGCCTATTTCACACTCGGTAAATTGATAAGCGTGTTCATGACTTTAGAGTACGATCTAGACTCTTGTCGGTGCACTTTCAACGGTATGGGTCAGCTACAGAGGAGTAGAAGTTAAAAAAATTCCTCTTAATAAACTTATCTCCCTGATGAGCACAATGGCCGCCTAGACGACTCAACGGCTTTGTATGCCGCGGGGAGGATCTGAATATTCGAAGCGGCGAACGTTCAAGGGCATGCCCACGTGCGGGCCACAGGCTAAGTCACAACAACTATGGAATGCGAACACACCAGATCCAGCGTTTTGCACCATGTCATTTCTGAGAAGGCCTACAAGCGAAGAGGGAGCCTCGTAGTATTAGGATGCCCCGCCTGTGAATCCCGCCCACGTTAATTTGTAGCACGTGATCCGCAAGAAGCCATTAATCTAATCTTTGTCAATTGAAATCTTAGACGTTCAGCAACCTCCGCACTCCCTAAGTAGCATAATTCCAGTTGGGGCCGAGATGAAAATGATCCATTAACAGGAGCTTAACAAGCATATTGAGAGGAGGGCAAGGTAGAACACCTGTACGCGGTGTCCTATACGACCATGGGAGTGTGTTGGAATTTGGAATGATTGGGGCTAACAAGTGGATCACGTTGTTGATTTACACGTGACTGAAAATTCTGTACTTGGTTTCACTTCGGTAGTTACTAGATTCAATGCGCCTCACAACCTCAATGACTGAGCGGTCATTAAATCCTTAAAAGAGTGGAATATTCTCCCAGGGCCAAGATGAGTCAGATTTCGCAATACCAAAGAAGTTGGTCCACGAGGCGATTATTCAAATTGCTCCACCACATCGTTTTTTCGCTCCCAACAAGTTTGACTCCTACCTAGGCTTCAACAAGTCTACAAGTACGACCTAGTACATCCTCATCACTATGACCACACCTCTCTCCGACCTTCTCTGGCCTCAGTTGACCAACAAATACACGCCCACGCCGATATTTATACCCGACGGAGGAAGCAAAGCATGGCGCACAAATCTTGGAGACAGCACTTTGGGATGGACGTGAGAGGGATCAGGACAAGTTGACAATATGATGCGAAGGAAGGATACAGTCTCGACGGGCGTGGAATTCCGAATTTTGGCAAGAGTTTTACGAATTGAGCTTTGTGCGCGCGAAGACTTCGCTCGCGAGAGTGCAGGCGACACTAAACACCGTCATGGTTGGATGGTGCAGTGGTACATCGTTTTGGCCGGTCTGCCAAGTAGAGTCTGGATAGCTTGGACACATATCCCACTCGAGACAGTAGATGGCTGGTTCAAATCCGGCAAAACACAACCACTTTTCTCGCGGCGCTGGTATACATGGATGACGAAGGCATGCTTGGATAACCAAAGGTTTCGAAATTCCCTTTGGTGGGTACTAACGGAGGAGGGTCGACTGTTTGTGTAAGCAAGCATACCTCATAGTGGTATTTGCGAATGAAATCCAGAGTATGAGTGTCTCTAATGTCAAAAGAGTCATCCAACATGTATACATGGCACCGGTCATGTGTCATAGCTAGATAGCTGAATACACTTTGAATAAAAAAAAAAGACTTAGATGTCCCTTGACACCCAGGATCTATCTCATAGCGCGACAGTATTTATGCGGATTCTCACAATTCCATCACGCCATATCAGCCACCATGCCTTGTTGAATCAATAGTCTTGGACTAGTTCCAAAGGATTCAGTATGTCATCGCACATAACTCTAAGTGGCACTTGTACCTGCACCCATTCATATAGTCTAACCACTTAAGTCTTCACTTCCACCTAGCTGTCTTTGACTATGAAGCATGACAAATGTACAAGATTTTATAAATTGCATCAGCTCTAGAGTGTATACGGTAGTTACAAATAAGTGATGTGGTTTATTCATCATGTGCCCTCAAGTTTCCAACATGTCGTGTCAATCGTATATACGATACAGCCGAGTAGAGACACCTGAGTCTTCAGAATTTCCAACTGCAGCAAGATATCCCTCCTGACCATTGTCTAGCTAATTCTAATCTTGCGATTCTCATGCTGTTTGGATTTTGGTATGCGAACACTTAGAACACCGTTCTTCATGAAAGCCTTGACGCCATCTTGCTCAACCCTAGCCGGAAAACTAAATGTCCTTGAGAATTCACCCACGTTCCGCTCCATAACCCAGAATTTCCCAGAGTTTTTGGATTGAGTGTTTTTCATCTGATTCTGGGAACCCGAATCACTCTTTTCTGAGGAAGGTTCACTTTTGGTGTAACTGCGTTCAACGCTACCCTTGATAGTAATAGTCGAGGAATCGGTGAACTCTATTTCAACATCTTTTTGTTCAATGCCGGGTAGCTCGCCATGAAGCTCGTAAGCATCTCCAAGTTCTTTAACGTCAAAGTTCGGGGTAAATGTCTCGATATCAGATTCTCGGAAGAAGCTCTGACCGCGAGAATATTCATCAATCCCATCGAACAAGTATGAGAGCGACGAAAAGGGTGTTTGGTCGTTGGTGATAAAAGATTTTGGGAATAACGACATTATTATGATTATACTATAGAGGTTTGGTAGATATGGTCGAAGTTTGCGAAAGATAGTTCCCAAGTGACTTGAGTTGATGTGATAACTCGATGAAGCACTGCAGACGACAATCTCAATTTATACTCATTTATAGGGTTCTAGAATTAGTCAGAATAAGTTAAGCTAATATTGTTAGAAGATTCTAGTAATTTCTGGAGAGATCATGACTAGAAAAGAATCTCGTTAGGAAGATTGCTAGGGATATAACTTGATGATGTTTGTAGAATATTCTATGCGTGATTAAATGCCAGGAATCTTTCAATACTTATCCACTAGATATCGAGCATAAAAATAATATGCTTTGCCACTCATCACACACTATTGCAAAATATCATGTGACACTTCTACCTGCTACATGTGCCCCATACCTCTAATGAAGACGGTATCCAAAGCTCTAAGAATAATTCTGCGTCCTATTGTCGACAAAGATGATCTTCTGCGATAAGAGACATATAACCAAGTCAAGCACTAACAGTTCTTGATCTTCATTCCTTCTCCGCATTAGGCTAGCCTCGGCTAACCAATCACAAGTACGCAAATAAAACTAGAAATTTCAAAGTCAATTGTCCTCAAGCATGGATCACTTGTTAACGCAGTTATCCATGTAAAACCAAAATATACAAAAATTTAGCTCGTCAACACTAATAATACATACAGCTCAGCAGAGCCCCGAAACTCCTATCTAAATTTGAAGGCCAAAATAATTGTGTGCTAGAATCCAGTGTAATATCCGAACTATTAAATTTATGAGTATTACTCATCATTCCCATGTTTTTTCTTCGATTTTTGAAACTGTTCCTTTCCGTCCGAGAGATAGGCGATAACTTTCTGGCCAGCAAAACTTCTTCCATTCATGAGATTAACGCAGGCTTCTGCAGCTTCTGTACTGGAGAAGCGAACGCTAGCTACACCGTCTTTCTCGAGGTCGAAGAGCACGACGTTTGTCACTTCACCAAGCTTGCTACACTCTTCGCGAATATCTTCTTTGATATCGAGAATAACAGCAGAATCTTCGGCTAGCTCATCAAGAGTAAACATGTGTTTAAGTATGACGACTTTGTCTCGTTTTGACCCAACTTCTGGAAATGCCGATGATTCCTCATCACTCCAATCCGCAAGGCGCGCATCAAGCCTCTGTGTTTTTTTGATAATTTTCTGCTTTTCTTTGTTGTTTATTTTGTCTTTTGCTACACCTTCTGCACTAGGCTGCACTTTCTTGTAGCTAGAGTCAGCAGCCTGTACCTTAATTTTCGTTCCTGACTTTTCTCCGAGTCGGAACTCAGTATCGTCTAGAAGCATGATGGCCATGTCAACTGAAGGAGCTTTGAAGAATACAACAAGCGCGTCACCCTTGAATATTCCATTCTCATCAGTGTAGAGCTTGATGCGAGGCTTCCCACTATCAATTTCTTCGGCGATAACGCCGCATTTCCTTGAAAACAATGCATGCACTTCTTCTATCGTTGCGTCGCTTGGAAGTCCTGTCACGTAGACGGCTGTGTTCGGCCGAGGCGGAAGAGGAGCTCTGCTTGTTTTTGAGATTTTTGACGCGCGTCCACCTTCCTGTGCAGGGGATGGGTTAACATTGAGTGTTTTCAGGAGCGGGAAGATAAACCCACCCCCTCACCATTAACGTACTCGGTCTTGCGTTTCTTTAATTTTATATCGACTGGTTCATTTTCGTCCACACCAGCTACCCGATAGGCTGCTTGTTGCGCTTCAAGAAGTGCTTCATCTACCGTCGGTCTCCATTTTTTGAGAGATTCGTCGAATTCATACTCAGTTCCATCGTCTTGAACTAGAATAAATTTTTTGTCTAGCTTGGAGAAGGATATCCTCTCATCTGAATCAAACTCTTGAGGGTTGTTAGGAAAAGAATTTATTGAATGTGTTGATTCCATAGTTCTGCAAGTTAGGTTGTTGTAGGGTTATGGTGGTTGGCGGTAGGACATTAAGGTAGTATTTCTACGCTTGCGGCTGCTAAAGACACGCTCAGAGTCTTGAAAGCTGAGCGCCGCGACCATCTGTCGGCATTGAAATTCAGGGGATGAAATTTCAACTAAATAACTGTGATCAGTAATAATTAATAGTTCTAGGATTTGGCCTAGTTTTTTTGGTTGATAGGGAGCAAATTTCTTCTTTCGAAACCTCGCATGTAACCGTCTCCAGCAGCCCATAAACAGCCTGACATTCCCTACTGAATGTGAGTGTCGGTGTTTCATTTATTATTTCAGTCACAGAATATATTGCACATTAAAGTCCTCCTTGACCCAGGCCACACCTTGTATAGTGCTCCTCGCCTCTTGTACTCCTTGAAAGATCATTGATATATGACCCATGATGGATAGCCATTCAGCCTAGTAATCACCTGTGGAATTTATCTACCTTTCCCACAGAAAACCATGCCATAAAAAATAAACAAGATAGTAATGTAAATAGGGTGCGCATATCCATCTAAATCTTCCCTTCTTTTAACAAAAGAGGCCAACTTTATCCTGTCCATCATTGCCGTATCAAGTGCTGATTGCTCTCTGGGAATTCGTCGGGTGGCCTCTCTACCATGATCAAGGGTAGGTGATGGGTAGGGCGTCGACCATACCATCTGACCTGATCGTGGTTAATCTCATGACAATGAGCATATGGGTTTTTCCCAAGAGACGAAAATAACACAGACCATAAAAGTGATTGAGAATCTTTGCTGAAGTGAGAAGGGAGATACAACTCGATCTCGGCTCCGCAGACTCAACAGTGAGAATTCGAGGTTCGTTGGGGACACTGCCAACAGGTGTTGAGTTTCCGTACCCCAATTCCAAAACGTTTTTCATGATAAATCTTTTGAGTTACAAAGCGTTATTCGTTCAACTACTCTTCATTTGTAGCGTAGCACCAAGTTATCACAGCCCTACACCTTGAACGTAAACCGAAGTCAATATATTAGCAGTTATTCTGAGAGCCATGTGCGCTGTTTTCAACTGCAGAGTCTAACTCGTATATGGCCTTCAAAAAGAGATCATAAAGGATCTTTAGTACTCACCCAGATAAATGAATATTACTGGCTTAGGAAAATGACTGAACACCTATCGGCTGGTCTCTCTACGAACCTCAGAGTGAAATATTCTTACAGGGCTGTGTTTAATCAAAATCCGCAATAAAAGAGATGCCAAATCACGATGATATGACCAAAATCTTTAAATCACTTTAATGCCTTATTCGCAACAAGGTAGACTCCAATAAAAGCTTTATCATGTCTACAAGTATCACTCAGTACATAACAATCTCAATAAATACACTTCATATGGACTCAGAATCTGGCTTCCAAAAAAAAGTGCAAAGAATTATAAATTTCCCAAGAAAGACGCAAATCTGAGGAGGCAGATTTCTGGGGTGAACATGAAGAATATCATGGCAGATAGACAAGATGATACTCAGGAAAAATACAGTCTGAGAATTTGTGAAAGTTTGTACTTTAGGAAGTTGTCCTCAACAATGGAAACAATTGTGCGCGCCACAACCTTGTTTGCGAGAGCACAGACAGTACTACGTGCATAGTCATTTTTGGGCGATCCAGTGGTAAATTATTCGGACCGGTGTCTTAAGTAGAGTCCGAATAGCCTAGACACCTATTCCATTCAAGACAGGAGTTCACTTAATCGAATCCAGATAGACTCGATTACAACTCTCACAGTGCTCGTATACAGTATGAAGATGATATTTTAGGATAGCCAAAGTTTTTAAAAATATTCTCTCTAGTAATGACCCACGCGCGAGGCTCAACTATTTAGTAAATACAAGAATATTTTACAGTAATATTCCTGAATAATATCCAGAGTATGAGTTTCTCTAAAGTCAAAAGAGCCGTTTTAAGTATGCACAAGACACTGATCATAAGTCTAAACTAGATAACTAGATGTGTGCTAAATGAAAAATTGAAAATTTTCACCACCTTAAATCGAACTCATCCAAATTCATCACACTGAGGATTTCTATCTGAAAAAAGAACTCTTACAGCCTTGGTAATATCGACTAAAGTGTCATAGCTAGTCAGACTGCATACACTTAATGATTTAAAAAAAAAATCGGCTAAATATATCTTCCAGGAACTAACATTCAATCTCTACACCTTAATGCATCCTTTCCTGGCCCAATGATAGAATCAGGGATATCTTTGGATCGGATTGACGAGTAAGTAATATCTTCTTTTTAGATTCTTTGACGCAATACCACACTATAAATATTTGTACCTTTCTTCATGTTGGATCAGGTAAAATGATATATTTCCCCTTCGACTCTACCGACGAGAATAGTTCATGCAGAATACCTTGAAATATGTGGTAGGGTTACCAACAGGAAGTGGTCAAGAAATAGGACTTAGATTCGGTTCATTCTTAGGTTATTTTATGGGCAGGATAACAAGGCACTAGGTTTTTTCTGCGACGAAGTTCAAACAATAATAAAGATATATCACATGACATAGAAAAACCGCTGACCTTAATAGCCATCCTGTCTGAAAAGAAGCCTACCAGCTGCCTGTAAGGCAAAAGAACCACTACAAAAGTATTTAGATAGGAAAATAAAGGATCAAAACCTGTAATATAAATGTTCTTCGGGCTTAGCGATTAAAACTAGCAGCAAAGCGATATTGTAGCTTAGATTGTCTAGTCTAATGCGCATAATCGATGCCATAGATCAAAATATCTCATCGAAAACTGTTGCGCTTATGCAACTGATTGCTTTCTCCGGTCTCTGCTAGCTAGCGTAGAAAGTGCGGAGGTTCTTAGCATTTCAAATAGGAATATCTCGGTATGCTCTATGATTTATTTTACAGTTTTGCATTGTACAGGATTTCGGTGCTTGGAAACGATCGAGTTTCCACTCAGCACCAATTTTGATGCACGTCTAGGATAGTTGCAGTCAGAGCTAGCTTCGGGAAACATAGGTCTTAGAAGGATTTATGGCTTAGGTTCACTCAAACATTAGACTCCCCAGGCTATCATCAACGGTTACAGAACGTGTAACAGGCTAGATAATATTGGTGTCCTCAAGATAAGCTAGGAGCTATGGGGCTCATATAGATATGAACTTCCATAGATTTTAGAGCAGATCAATTCATTCATGCTGTTTCTAATTATTCACTCAATTTAATATACGTTTACTTTCCACATGTGGCTGGTAGAATATTCGAGTCACCCACAAAATTGATCAGAAATCTTCTCGAGATGAGACGATACTTGTCCTTCATAGTCATAGACTCAGTAGGGACATTAATTTAATTCTATCATTTTCTATGAAACGATACTCTCGCAGGAAAGGTAGAGCTCCTAGGCCGAAGTATTTCATCAGAGTCAGTACCGTAAAAGACGCTTAAGATGATTAATAACGCATAAGAAATCTCTTATCTAGCTCCGGAAAATTCGAGATGGCAAATAACAACATCGATGCGACTGTTTAAGCGCTTTCTGATCCTATCTATGTCAATATTAGTTATTGGCCGCGCCCCAACATCAACTGTTGCTTCTGTCTGGCGCTTTGTCTTACCAACAAATCAAGGTCGTCTGTGTTGGGCGGATAGGTTTGCAAAAGCTTGTAGCTGTTAGGCATAGATTATATCACTTGGTGAAGGGAGTGGGAAATTAGAGGAGTCTGTAAATCTGTCGCGGAGAGTTGTTAATCACTCCCACTAGGACACAGAGTGCTATATAAACTATGTTCTGTAATAAGAAAATCTTGTGGTTTGTATTAACGCCAAAGCGCATTAATACTAACCTCACGATTAATAGGAGATTAATATGTCTTCGGATTTATTCCTAATGTCGGTATTAGAAGAGCCCCGCACCTAGTGGTTTTTGCGATTTTTCCCGGCTGCCATACACGCGCAAATGACCATCGTTTCGTTGGCTGGAGAGGGGAGATAATGAAGGGCTAAGGGCTCCTCTTAGTGTATGATCGAATGAGTACTTGTGAGGGGTGGTACTGTTTGAGGGGAGCTGTATGGGAGGCATAGGAGGGGATATACTACTGGTATAGGTATCCTTGGCCTGTAGGTAGAGAGGACCTGCATGTCCTACATAGTCATAGACTCAGACAGGACAATAAAATTAAATAATAGTAATAGGAGATTAATGACGTGTATTTTACCCATCCCTGTCTTTGCCATAATTGGAAGCACTAATTTCAATAGTCTAGACCGCGCTCTATGATTTCCTTCTACTCGTTATAATTCAATTCAGCTCGAGATGGGTTGGTTCAGGAAACGGAGCTCTTCCATGTGATTCAATTGTATCCTGGTTCCGGCATTTTGGTTGCAACTAAATGGCCTCGATGGCTATGCCGGCAGGTTGATTTTCTTCACTACACAACAGAGAGTTCTTTGAAAAAGAGGGTAAGACCACGTGTAGATCTCATTTCTGGCGACAGACATAGTGCCCAGCGATTCAGCTAGTATTTGTTATGGGCATTCTCTGCACAGTCCCGATGTTATTTTGTAGCCTTCATCTCTCGGCGTCCAATCTTATCATTGTTTATCCTCCCAAAGCATATCACCCGATCAGTCCTCATTCGAACTTGGTACAGGAGCTCATGGAATAGGTACGGAAAGATCGACAGAGACCTAACAATTTGAACCTCCCCATTATCCATATCGTGTCAAGGGATTACGCGTTATTGGTTGTCTGAGCTGACCTGGGTGCAAGGCCGGGCACCCAATCAGTATCTGCCAAAAGGCTCAGTCTTTTACACCGAGCAAGATCCATTGGTAGTCCTTGTATCCGGTAATTGTCAGGGTACACTTTGTGTTGGCACAATCCAGTTGTAAATTCTTTCCCATAGAAAAATATTAATTATTTTATAGTGTTGCTTGCGTGCAGTGACCGTTTGACTGAACTGTTGGAAATCTAGACCCAGTATGTATAAAGGTTTAGATTTTTAGGTCTGATCATCAAGATCACTTAGATTGATTCGATTGCATATGGTCATGCTCAGCTGGGCGACATGAAGTTTAGTGATATCTGAAATGTACTGGCTGGGAAATGCTACTGTGTGATAACTGTGTGGCTGGTTGTTGCCAGATTACTGGTAGTTCGGGATCACTAAAGCATTGGGAATCTATATTTAAGGATAGACTCATCTTTGTAGATTAGACTAAGTTAACTGAATATTATATATTATTAATTCATATTGAGAAGAGAGTCCGATATCCTATACAACTATCAATAAACTCTTGTCCGAAATTGTGCACTTGTTCTTCGAGATATTTCCTCCTAGAAATCCTTGACAATTTCTAACAATAACCGTTAAAACATCGCTGCACCAAAGGTAATGTAGTCTATGTGTGCGGGCACAAAAGATGACAAACTTCTAGTGACAATCCCCATACATTTGGCGCCTATCTTTTGAAAGAAATATATCTCCCCTGTGCTTGGCACAGTGCGTTTCTTTAGATCGTCATTACTCCTGCACTGACTAGGAATGTTCATACATAAGTTGTTACGCTTACCAGAGATCCAGGGTGTACACAATACCGGAGAGATGGGGGCCGTTATGGAGGAATCAACTACATACTTCATCAGAAACGCGACAGTGCCTCACTAACGGGCCGAGATTGGCTTATTTTGAGCCTCGTGAGTAGTCCATGTACGATATGAGTTACGGATCATCTTCCTTAACTAGAGAACTGCACTAACCGTCTATGAAATGCCGCGTACATTGGCCACTAGTCCTTAATATAATTCGTCCACCCGCAACCAGACCAGCTCATTTTCCAGAGAATCAACGTTATCCAAGTAGCTCACGCCAGATTCTTCTGTGATACCAGTGCCGGGAGCATGTCGAAACCCGTTACCTCACTTTTTACTGACCACGCAAAATGACGGGGCTGATGGTAGTTCTTTGTGCCATATGAATCGGCGATAGAGTGTAGCTCTAGACAAGTGGATAGCAACATAGCGGAGGTTTTTGTTTTTTGGGTATTGCTAAGTGTGTACTTAGATGGGACAAATATCGAAAATTCTTTTGAAAAGGCGAGCCTGCTCGGCTCTGCTGGGCTAGCCACGTAGCGCTGTTTCTGTTGAAACTATCGTCCAAGTCTTACTCATTGTGTTCGTAACCAAGCCATGATCAGGCGGAAGGATCACTCGTGGGTAAATTTTCCTTTGGGGCAGGCCCTTCGCTGGGCAAGACGATATCCTTGACCGGATGCAGCAGCATTGGGGGCAGGCACATCCGTCCCTCTCCACCTCGCATGCCACCCACACCCTCACCATCTTTACTCTCATCAGCTGTTAGCTCAAATTGCTCACCACCATCGTTGTTGACCCTTAGACCAAGCCACCTCCTCCACAAATTAGGCGCAAACCCAGCATTGTAGTACCACGTCAGACCCATCAAGTTGTGTTCTCTCGCTCCAAAGATACTCGTCCTTGCCCCGCCAGTGGCACCACTTTTTCCCGCATTTGTAACTGCTGAAAAGTAAGCGACGGGCCATTTCCTGTCAACAAATGTCGGGTGTGGCACGTAGACGGCTTTGTATCCATGATGCAGAGCGACTGTTGGTGCCCACATCTCAGAGAAGGCGTGGTGCTTCTTGAAGGCCGTCTCACGATGCATCGACTCCAAGAGGCGTTTCGACATTCTCGAAGTAGTTATAATTGCAGCGCGGCGTGGAGGCGAGCCGGTACTTGTATTGAATCCCGTAAAGTCATTAGCCAACAGCCAGGTAGTCTCTTCTGGATCAAAAAGTGGGTTGAAAGTAATCAGATCTGCCGGTTCCCCTACTCCCCACTCGTATCGATCATTATCGTATGATCTAGGTGGCACGGGATCATTTTCGACCTCAAACCAATCCTCTTCATGTTCAGGCCGTTCAGGTCCCCAAATTGGCTTCTCCGTTTTGGTTTTGGCCTTGAGCCCCAGAAGGCTGGTTGCTAATCTTTCGGGGTCACTAGAACTCATCTCGGTCTGAACTCGAACCAAGTGCTTAAAGTCGTCCCAGGAACCATGCGTAGTTGGTATGTAGAATCGATTGTTACGTTCCCACAAACCTTTGCGAGATTGTTTTTGTGCCCAAGATTCGACTTGTGAGAATAAGTTGTAGTAGTGTCCCGTATAGCGGATATCAATTTCCCAATGCCAAAAGTACTCATACTCAGGGTGGGTATGGGCAAAGTGCTGCATGGCCATTTGCAGTCCTCGATATGGTCCATGTATAGGAAGATCAGGACCACGCGCAAATGTATCATGTATTCCCTGATATAACATTAACATTTGCGTGACGCTCCATAATGTGGTAATTCCTCGAAATTCTTCTGGGACTGATTCGTTGACATGTCGTTGGTAGAATTCCTCATCTGCCCAGATTGGGTATTTACTTTCATCCTTGACTTGGACTAAAAGATGGACGTCATACTCACCGGCAGAGCCGAGAGATAACTCGGAGATCATGGCCCGCAGGTGAAGTATATCTTCTAGGCCATAGTTGAAGTCATCCCAGACCCTTATGACTACGGCAGATCGTGGCAGGTATTTTTTGGGTATTGATGAAATGTTGGCCTTAGTAGAGTCATAATGATCGGAGGCGCGATTAGATTTAGACGAGTATCTAGTTCTTTCATGGATAGAGTCTATTGGTTCAAAGCGCGCTTTATTCAAGTTAAAGCATCTCCTCTGTGCTTCGTTCCAGTTTACATTTCGGAAATCGACCTGGTTAATCTCTGATCCCGTATTCCATACATTACTAGATCCCATAATATCACCATATTCGCCGGTTCCTGTCCCGCCATACTTCTCGGCATATCCGTACCCGTATGGACCTAGACGTCCAAATCTGTCGAAGCAAATATCTTCTGGAAGACCAAGTAACTCGTAAGAGCCTAGAATATTGTTGGGAAATCCGGCGGGTCTACCGTAGTAATATTGTAGTGAGGGTGGAGAAACAGTTGAGTTGGCGTCGAGGAAGCACTTTTGAACGGTCGGATATTCAGCTAAATAGTCTGGAGATTGGTGATGGGCATAGGCCTCGAAGGGTATACTAACGGGCACATCTCGGTTTAATTTTGAGGGTTTATCGGAGGTAGTAGGCTCGTCTTTTAAGGGATACTCAGGCGTATTTTCCGCTAGTGGAGTTAATGATCGAAGACCTCCATAGTACCTTGTCAAAAATGGGAAAGCTTTCCATGGTTCCGGAGGTGGAGTTGGTCGTCTTCCTATATTTCCGGCCTCGACTCTCTTGGTTGATGAGATACCGGCATGGACTAGGCTTAAGATGAAAATGACGACGGTGGATATGAGAGCTAGGCAGCATAAACGGATGATACGATGGGGTGATAGGTTTCGGCGGGAGCGACGGTTAGTACTAGATGACGGCTTGGTAGAGAGGATAGGTTGATGTGAGGAAGACGAAGAGAGAGACTGGCGAGAAGACGTGAAGGAAGAAGTGTCCGACAGATAGTTCGAGTCAGCATCGGACTCAGACTCTTTTTCTAAGCCCATGAATAGAGTTGATAAAGCTGATCAAGGGGCAGTACTCTAGTTCACGTAGCTATTACTCCAGAAGAATATGGGAGATTGTGATTTTGATAAGTCTGCCTCTAGGCTGACAGTCGTTAGGCGCCGATCTCACAAAGAAATATTGACGTCTGTACGGCAAAACAAGCTTTCTGGGTTCAACTGTCGGCACGGCAACCAGCTAAACAAGACAAATGGAGGGCAAGACAGAACACCTGTACACGGTGTAGTCTACAAACCTGGGAGTGAAATATTCTTCCAGAGCCAAGTTCAGTCAAATTTCGCAATACCGAAGAAGTTGGCCCTTGAGGCAATGATTCAAATTACTCCTCCACATCGTTTTTTCGCTCCCAACGAGTTAGACTCCTACATAAGTCTGATCAAGTCTACAAGCACGACCTAGTACATCCTTATCCCTATGACCACACCTCTCTCCGACCTTCTCTGGCCTCAGTTAACCACCAAATACACGCCCACGCCGATATTTATACCCGACGGAGGAAGCAAAGCATGGCGCACAAATCTTGGAGACAGCACTTTGGGATGGACGTGAGAGGGATCAGGACAAGTTGACAATATGATGCGAAGGAAGGATATAACCTCGAAGGGCGCGAAATTCCGAATTTTGGCAGGAGTTTTACGAATTGAGCTTTGTTCGCGCGAAGACTTCGCTCGCGAGAGTGCAGCTGACACTATAAACACAAGCCAGCGATGGAAGGTGTTGTGGTCCGCCTCCTGGTGGTGCTCTCTGGTATAGTTTGAGTAGCCTGGGCACCTACTCCACTTGGGAAGGAGACATCTCCCCGAGTGGATATCCACGGATGAGGGCTGACTTGGGGTGAAGAAAAAGCCGCCATAACTTTGCAGTGGTGCTTGCAAATGAAATACAAGGCATGAATGCTCTTATATTAAATTGAGTCATCTTTTCTGTACTTTTCTTCGATATTGTATCATAGCTAGATAGCTGCATACGCAATTAAAATCTGACGCAAAAAAAAACAAGACAACTTTGGCGAAACGTCGTTCCTCACAACACAGAAGTCTTCAAAGGAACTTCAAATGCAATAATTCTACGGCCCAAGATAAAGCTGCAGCTAGGATTCGTTCGAAGACTTCGTTGATGTCGTCGGTACAATTATTTTTCTTCCAGCCCAATAATGTGTCGGTCTTGATCTTTAAAATTGCTGGAGATCTGAAGGTAAATCAGTTATTTTGTTTGTATCGCTTAAATTTTACCAATAGTGAGCCATGGGCCTTCTTCGCTCTACTCAACCAACCGGATAGGGAACGCATCTGAAGGTAAAACAGGTATTTCGGTGGAACTGGTCTCATTCACATACAACGTTGACCTACATGATAGACTTGAAGCGCCACCCTGGCTTGATATCTATCACATGTACTGGTCTAGGTGTCCCGCAGATTCGCGCAACACTTTCACTGATAGTTCGCCGGCAGAGACAGATTATCCACTTTCCAGTGGTGCCAGTGTAATCGCTCAGTATGTTCTATATACCTGGGAAAGCCAAGAAGGACAGCATTGAATCGATGTCGAAAGCAAACACACGCATATCTCCATTTGACGACTTCTCGACAATGCCTTTCTTACTTTACTCATCTGAGTCCTCAAACTCTCTCTAACCACGCATCATCTCGCCTCAACGACCGATAAAGGAGTTGGTCTAATTGCAAATTGGAGCTTGCCCAATTAATTACTAGCTATCTCCCACTACCTATTTACGACGCTATTTATACCTGCAAGGAGGAAAAAAGTCATTGTATACGAATCTCGGGCCATGGTTTGTGTGGGACCGTTGCTCTGATGAGGTTATACATCTTGAGGAAGGACTGACGTCTAAGATGTGGAGCGATAGGCGGAACAGGTCTCCGAAGACCATGCTAGGACTGATATTTTCGAGTGGGTTTCAACTTTAGAACGTTGGTGAGCGCCAAGACCGAGATTTCGGCTAATTAGCTAGAAGGACTTCAATTGTCGATGAGGCAACGGCGCTCCCCAGCGCCTTGGACGGTATCAAAGAAGTTGGGCTAAGCTGCCATACAGCAATCACGCTTTGTCGAGACTTTTCCGACATTACAGCACGACCTTCGGGGAAGGAGCTGGAAGGAGGCCAGAAAGACAGAGGGTGAGTTTCGCGAGGTTCCCACAAGTCTGCAGAGCCAAGCTGGCCGGCCTCTTCAAAAGCTTTAGAAGGGTCATTACGTCTGCAAATTTTGTCCTAATGTTTGTACTAGAAGAGCTCCGCACGCAGTGGTTTCTGCGATTTTTCCCGGCTGCCATACACCCGAAGAAGGCCATAGTTTTGATGGCTTTAGAGGGGAGAATATGAAGGGCAAAGGGCTCCCCTTAGCATGATCGAATGAGAGCTATCGAGGAGTGAGGTGATAGAACAAGTAAAGCTTCTCGCTAACGTATGCTGAAAACAGAGTTTATATCCTATCCAAAGAGGAAGCCACCATGGAAGGCATTTCGTGAATGTAAGCAACTACGCGTCGCGTAAGGCGAGCCTTTACCTTAGCAATAACAAATCTTGACCACAAAGGTGTCAGCGCTTCGCAAGGGACTGTATAAACTCAGGCTCCAAACTATCATGGCTACAGCCTGTAACAGGTGGTACAGTTTGAGGAGAGCTGTATGGGAGGTATAGGAGGGGATTTATTACTAGGCAGGTTTTCCTTGGCTTATAGACAGGAAGGACTCATATGTACTATATACATTCATTCATTTTGATTTGATTTGAATGAATGTGTTTTTATTCGTCACTACACTTCTTTCATCTTCTATCAATTCTCGAACGACTTATCGTAAGCCCATCTATACTTGATCATCATTTCACTATTGATGGCCAAGTCACAATAATCTCCCCCTTTGGCCCAACGCGTCGCTGAAGAGCTTGAGCTTATACAGCGCGTGGCAAAGGGCCGAGCCACTTGGGACCAGAACTTTCACACCAAGTTCTGGACAGCTGCTGAAGAGGCTGATCGTCTCATCAAACCTTTCATACGCGAACAAATGGACGTGTTTCTACTTGCGGCTACCACTAGAAACTCTTTATGACACAACACTCCGAGACAGCTCAAATCGTCAGGATCCTTGCCTACGCTTAGCCAAAGCATTTCATCAAGCCCTCCCGTTCCTGTAACAAACCAGCCAAAAACTTGGGCTACGACCGTAGCAGGCCTATCTACCTATTTACCCCTAGCCCCGACGCGAGTCAACGCGAACAGCCGACCCTCTTGCACTACTGCTTCAAAACAAGCAGTAGATCTCAAGAGACCCAAAGCTATCTCTCGCCTGCCCGAGAAAGCCCTTCTTCTTAGAGCAGATGTAATACCAGTTAAAGCAGCTCTTATACACATCGTTCCGGACCTCAAGGATTGTATCGCTTCAGTTACCCGCTTCTCAAGCGGATTCAGCAATACTGTCAGAATTTAGAATAATTGGGGCTATGAATTAGGCCACCATAACGATACATAAGTGACTGCAAATTCTGTACATAGTTTTACTTCGATAGTAACTTGAAACAATGCGCTCTATAACCTCAATGACTGAGTGGTCATTATTTCCTTAATAATTACCTTTCTTTCTGCCAAATCGCTGAAACTTGCAGCCGAAAATTCAGACTCTATAAAGGTCTTTTTATCGGGGGCTCTCCACGAAGTCGAGGATCATGTTGGGTACGTTGTCAGATGCATTTCACGCACCTTTTGGAAACCGGTGTCTAACCTGGTACCCACCTCAATTGATGATGTCGAAATCATTGCTCAGGCTCAGGTGGGCGTCGCTCCATCTGGCGCCCGCTGGTCGCAGCATGAATATTATCATGACTATCTTCGTACGGCAGTTATATTCTGCCCGAAAGAGGTGTCCAATTTTCGAATAATTGACAGCGCCCCATCCCGTCGCTACATCCGCAATCCGAAGGTTGTTCAGTGCCATGCTTGCTTTGGGTTTCATCAATCCTCCCGATGTCGCAATCAAATTTTGTGTGCTCAATCTGGCACTTCCCGCCACCAAGGGGAATGCCATCATATTCGCCGATGCATTGTTTGCTTGGGGCCACATCCTGCAGATGATCTTAACTTCTAACTCCGCCCTCATCCTTTTGAGGGCAGACTAATTCATCTGTCATGAAGGGGAGTTACGGAATTTCGTTCACGCAACCGTATTAATCTCAGAAAGATACGTCGTGCTGACGCTGTCACCGCTGCTGCTGTTATCTCTTCTCACTCTGATAACTCCGATTTACCGCCACCCCCCCACTGAATCCTCCACTGTTATAATCTGGGAGTAGCTTAACCCTGATTGGTGGAGAAGAGTGTGCTAAGGATTGGCAAGGGTCATGGGTTCTAATTTGGTGTCGCCCGTCGGACATGTAGCAATGATATATCCATCCTTTCCTCCATATCATTCTTCCATATCCATATTGTAGAGAGTAGTTTCATTCAAGTATTTTACTATCAATTATTTACATACTTCAATGATATACAGAATTCTTGGTATACATACAAGTGTCAGAGTCAATATTAGTACCTAGGTAACCTAATATCATAATATCCACCAGCACCTCCTAGAATATGCCTGCTGCTAGTCAAAATAGGTTCACTTCCCTCGCAGCTCCCTCGTTTGAATCTATAGATATAGATTCAGGAGAGCAAGTTACCACTAACGCCCACAGTCTGTCTCTACATGAACAATAGAGCCTACTTCAGGAGCAATCCCCCGCCTCGCCTTCGCTTCCTCCAGGCAAACGTTGGGCGTGGTGGACCTTACCACCTCATTCTTTTGCAAGCTGCATTTTAGGGCAAATATGATGTGATATTTTCCCAAGAGCCTTCGACTAATACTATGGACTCAAAAAACATAACCAAGTCCCATCCAGTCTACGTCATTTCCACTCCTTCAAATTGAGACTTGAAGCTTCCTCGTCCGCGCGTACTCACATATATCCGGAAAAAATCTAACCTTCGACCTATTCAGCTGGATAGTGGAGCCTTACTAGATATCACGGCTCTTCTCCAGTACTCTCCTCCTATTGAGTTCATCAAATTCTACCGGCAACCTCGAGCTCATATGTCTGAGAGCCTGAACCCCCTCCTTAGCTGGCCAGTTAAGCCCAACTCCATAATTGTGGGAGATTTTTATCTTCATCATGAACTATGAGAGCCTAATGCTTCTCGTTCACCTAGTATTAGCAGCTTTGTTGACTGGATTGACAATCACTTTTAAATATCGGCAGTACCTTATAGAGTTCCCACGCATCGCGCCGGACACGTCCTCGACCTTTTATGCACGAACATGGAAGATCTTACACATTGACGAGCTTTTTAGTCTTCGCGAAACCGCCTCCCCCCGACTAATCAAAGACATTACTTGAGCGTGGGGAAGTGGAGTAATTTGCACTCTACGCACGATGAGCCCTCGACTCTTGAGCGAATAGGCCCTTATAGCTCAAAATAGAGATGTACGGGGAAGGACGTAGATTTCTGAGAGGCCACAGCTCACAAATGTGGAGTTTTCGCTAACCCCGAACGGACTTCTTCGTTTCCTTGGGAAATTGGCATAACTCATCGGAATAGATTTCGACACGGAAGGAGTCGATATGTTACTACGATAGAAACCTTGAACACCTACTTGCGCAATTATGCTTCTACAGGATACACCTATTAGAGTGAAGGATATTTGAATTCTTGATGTAATTTTGGAATGATAGAAGCGAACTGGGAACGGTCAATGCACGCAAGCAATACCATAGAATAATTAATAATTTCCGGCAAAAGAGATAACAAGTAGATCATGCTTGCACAAAGTGCGCTCCGACCATCAGCTCACATAAGCACTCTCACGGGGTCTAGCTCAGTGCCAAAGGCTCAGTATTTTGAAAAATCCTCACTACGTATCGCCTAGCCTGGCCAACCAATGGCAGGCGAGCCCGAAACATGAATGTTGAGCGTCATATCGATACCACCGGAACTGTAAGAAATTGGATATTTTTAGAATCAATAATAAATGATGAGGAACAGGATGATTCAATATTTTAGATAATATAGAAGTTTATTTGTCCGCTTTAAGTCATCTTTGTGTGCTCGACCTCGCTTGGGCAGAACTATAAAGCTATAAGTGATGGAATAACGTTGCCACCACTGAGGTTAATACTAAACGAGACTTCTCCAATACTGTTAGCATTCGAGAATTGGTGACCGTGGTCTACTTGGTATTGCGTAAGTTCACTCTTGCGTGTCTAAATTTGGAAAACGGCATATAGAGCATTGTGCTGTGTATGCTTGGTGTTTCAACTGATGTGGACAAATGGCTAGGCGAGGTTGACTCATGCCTAATTGCTAGAGGCGGAGGAGCACAATGCCTTGGACTGCAGAGGCCTCTTTTTTCGTCTTGCCGCTCGACACCATCTTGTGTATGGTAGTGGGGTCAGAAAATATCATGACGTAGTGCTCGAGTCTGCAAGGGATACGTGAGTGGCTACACGCCGTGGACACAAGCAGTTTATTGGGCAGTTTCTATGTCTGGGCCGCGCCACAGTCGGGCAAACTGTCGCTTACACTTGTAGCTTCAGCGCACAACCCGCTCTATGAGTAATTTGAACATGACACTCTCCTATTTCATGCCCCCATTCTTTCCAGGTAAATTTTGCTCGTTTAACTGCGCGATATTTCCAACTCTGACTCATGGAGCGGTATCAGCATCGGATAAGGTCATATCCAGGATGCTCCCTGCTATGAATCTCTGTCTGATTTTGTTATACTCTGTATTTTCAGCTATTTTACCGAGAAACAGGAACGAAGGCAAGGAGGGACCCCAGATGCTTATGCTATGCATAATATTTGACAGTACTGTGTGAAAGATGTTGAATTGTACGTCACACTCAACCCGCAGCTGTTGGTCTCTACCCACGATGAATTCCGCATCGTTGACGTATCCACGCTCGCCGCCACCCCCCTGTACCGGAAACGCAAGCAATACGGAGGGAGCACCATAGCCCGGTGACCGAGTCTGCTGCAGCGGAGGTTTAAGCTGCGTCTGCACGAATTGTCCCGATGACTCTAAGCCTAGACCAGACCCGGTCGGACTCGATCTCACTCTAATCGCTGATGTGCCCGCATTAGAGTAAGCTGAGAGGCTCACCTCAATTTATACAGTGGGAGTAGCAGCCGCTCTATATGGCAGGACTCGGTGAAGGAAGGTTCCTCATATAGTATCGACGAACCTATCCGTCTCATCCATCAGGCGAGTGGGAAATATCGAGGGCCAGAGCACGGGATATTTGGGCTAAGTGGAAGCAGCGTTGGAGTATCTGATACTTACTTGTTTGTTTTTCAGCATCTGAACATGTTAATGTCGTGTATAAATGTTTGGAGCCGGATCAGGCTGACTGCTGCCAAGTGCGTGAGCTTCTTTCCATGAGAATGACGAGACGACCCTAGACCTCGTGTCTTGTGACATACATAGTCGGGGAATCGAGGCAAAGCATAATTGCTACCTTGTTCCAGATACCAGACACCAGACACCAGGCGCCTAAGCTCTGTAAACTCGTAGATGCCGGGCCTGTCCTGAACTAGCGCATCTTTTAAGTACCGGGAGGCATTCGTTGTTGCTAGAGGGCCTCACTCCAGCGCCATGACAGCCTTTTAGTATTTGTGCGTGGAGTCGTAGATCTGAATTCCTGTGGGAATGTCTTGGCCCAGCACGTTGAGGACGAATGCTGCTTGTTTAATTAGCATTTCTGGGCGGTGATGAGTTCTCGTCGATGGGCTTGTCGCGCACCATGGTGGAGACAATAACTTCTGGGGCCAGCTCGTGTTCATGACTGGATCTCGCATCTGGAGGATAGCTTTGGGCCCGAATACGCAGTGGGCGTTAATGGCGGGTGCTGAAGCTTTGTCTCTGGTGATGAAGGTGGGTAGTAAGCTCGAGCTGACACCGTCTAATGTCTGATTTCAGCGGCAGGGGTGCACAGGCCGTGACTCGCTTGCTCACTGGACTGGCCAGTCACAGGGTGCCGCCGCACATGCGAGCCAGGCACTTCCCGCGCAGACGGCGGCACTTGGGCCGGGCCTGTGATTGGCGTAGAAGGCAACCGAGTCAGGGCTGGCGAGGGGCGGGAATTTTGGATAAGATTGACTTCCATCCTCCGTCTCAAGGACACTACATGTCTCCAGGCACACGCCGCCAGAATCTGAACAATAAACGCATATAAGTCTTCTCTCAAAACAACAGGCTTCGTGGTGCTTCTGTGCTCGCTTGACCGACTGAGCTCTTCCCCTCGCGCCTCGTCTCTGCCCCAGCGCCTTCGTTTGTCCCGCGCAACTTCTCCTTGCCGAGCGCCCTTGAGCCGCGCGACCAGATTTACCTGTCCACTGCGACCAGATTTACCTGTCCACTGCGACCATTGATTTCAAGCGCACCCATAGCAACCGAAACATAATGGCATCTGTAGCTTCGGCCGATGCGTCTGACCTTCGACAGCGGGCATGGCCCGCCAAGACAGCGACGTTATACGACGAACAGCCCGAGGCCGAAGGGGCTGACGCGCAGCTGGCGGCTGAGTTTGGCTACGAGCCGGTCTTCAAGCGCGAGTTTGGCTACCTCTCGACCTTCTCCTTTGCCGTCAGCATCAGCGGCCTCTTTGCCACCACTATGACCACATTTTCATACCCGCTCGCATCGGGCGGCCCGGCCGGCGTCGTGTGGTGCTGGCTCATCTCCGGGGCCGGATGTATGTGTCTTGCCGTGAGTAAGCGTCCGCAGAGCCCGAGGCGGCGGCTGACCGAATCTTGCAGTGTTCCGTCGCCGAGCTCGTCTCGGCCTACCCCACCTCCGGTGGCCTGTGCGCGAGCCCTCCTGATATGAGTGCGGGCCGAGCTGACGCCGCCCAGATACTTTGCCATATCCCGCCTGGCACCTGTGCCGCGCATTCCACTGCTTAGTTGGTCGGCCGGCCCCACGTTCGCCCTCGCGCACCCTAAACTGACGACATCTCTAGGATAACTGGCTGGATCAACCTGCTAGGCCAGGTCGCCGGCGTTGCCTCGGCCGAGTACGGCTCGGCCCAGATGCTACTGGCGGCCGTGGCTATAAGCCGCGACTCGACCCCGTCCATCAGCGCCACTAAGACCGTCGCCGTCATGGTCGCCTTGCTCGCCGTTGCCGGGCTCGTCAACTCCATGTCGACGTACTGGATGGAGAAAATGACCAAGACCTACGTCGTCTTCCACTTCGCCGTCCTCATCTCGTGCATCATTGCCCTCCTCCTCAAGACTGACTCCAAGCACAGCGTCGCCTACGTCTTTACCCACGTCGAGTCTAGCTCCGGCTGGGCCTCACCCGGATTCAGCTTTCTCTTCGGCTTTCTCTCCGTCTCATGGACCATGACCGACTACGACGCCACCGCCCATATCACCGAGGAAATCTCAGAGCCCGAAGTCAAGGCACCGTGGGCCATTTCGCTTGCCATGCTCTTCACTTATATCGCCGGCTTCCTATTCAACGTCGTTCTCTGTGTCTGCATGGGCGACGCCTCTGAAATTCTCGACAGTCCCATCCTCCAGCCCGTCGCCCAAATCTTCCTGCAAAGTCTGGGCAGGACGGGTGGCCTCATCTATACTGTCTGCGGATTCATAATACTGCAGTTCGTCTGCTTTACCGCCATGCAGGCTACGGCCCGCACCATATACGCCTTTTCGCGCGATGGCCTTCTGCCACTGCCACAGCTCTGGCTTAAAATTAACCCCTGGACCGGCACACCTATCTACGCCGTCTGGCTAACCGTGATCCTCTGTATCTGCCTAAATCTTATTGCGCTCGGTTCAACTGTGGCCATAGCTGGCGTCTTTGACGTCTGCGCCATTGCCCTTGACTGGTCCTACTGCATTCCCATTATCTGCAAGCTAGTTTACGCCAAGTTCCAGCCAGGCCCATGGCACATGGGTAAATGGAGCTGGTGGGTGAACATGTGGGCCCTTGTCTGGACTTTATTTGTGTCGGTGATCTTTGTCTTGCCACACGCCCAGCCCGTCACTGCTCTTAATGTGCGTCGTATACCTCCCTATCCACCCGCCCGTCAGCTGACGAGTATCCTCCTAGATGAACTATGCTGCCGCCTTTTTGGTGCTGATATTTGCCTTCTCCGGAGTCTACTGGCTTTTGAGTGGCAGGAAATACTACACCGGCCCCCTCCCGGAGTCCGCCGCAGATTGCAAGCCTGGAGCCATTTGTTGAGGCCACCTAGCGTCTTATTGCCTCAATCCTGTACCGAGATCCCGAGAGGCCCGAGAAAAATACCGGACCTTCAAGACGGAAGAAATAAAAGCGCTTCTGACCACCTGCAAGGTACGGAGGAAGCGCCATGTATTATAGTCAGCGACCATAGACCAACCAGTCGCCTGCTTCGTTTCTCTACTCATGCGTGTTCGAGCGTGAGCTTTGTCTATCTCCATCCCTGATAAGCGTCTCTTCTGCGCGTGGAAAAGCTCCAGCTGAGAGCCGCTTTACCCTGTTGAAATTCCCTGCCCCCACTGAGCCTCTTCCGCCTGATGTGTCCGCAAACGTAGCGCCGGAGGACACGTCGCCCTTCTCTTCCTGGTAAAACGGGCCCGCTTGCCGTTTCATTCCTCTCAAACTCCCCACGCCATCCTCGCCGACGATCCACCACCACGGGTATCAAATTTGCTTCAATAACCGAGACTCTAGGGTCTGATGGTGCAGTGGTACACCATTCGGGCCGTTCTCCCAAGTAGATTCTTGGTAGCTTGAACACCTACCCCATTTGAGACAGGAAAAAGCTGGTTCGAATCCAGTAAAACACACACACCTCTCTCTCTCGCGGTGATATTGAATTTGTGGGACGATGAAATCACAATCGTATAACCATAGGGTTTTCACGCTTTCCCCCGTGGTGGTTATGCACGGAAGAGGTCATACGCCGTAAGGGCTAACCTCGAGTGGTATCTGCAAATAAATTTTGAGTGTTCAAAGCTTCAAATTAAGCTACCCTACATCAAGCACAATATCTTCCGATAGAAACCTGCATGGGCCTCAAGGCGTCAAATTAGGAAAATTGATTAATTCATTAATTTAAACTACGACTCTATCCTTGCTCGCCGAGGCTCCCACTACGTGACAAGCAAATCTGAGTAGAGTTTGAAGCTAGAAATACGTGTTATTTTTTCTTTGTAACACAGCATTACTAAATTAATGAATAAGCAGAAAGGACGAATCTTTCACATTACAGTACTGCCGATACAGTCGATCAGTATGATCCCGATATCTGGAATAATCAGGAAGACTAGCATTTGATGTTCTCACTTCCATTAGAATGCTAACCGGTCCCGCAGTCTGTATCGTCTTCATCAGCATAACCGCGTAGCACCAATATTTCGAAGCTAACTACGCCAGATCAGATAGTTGGCTCGAAGTCCTATTCATCCACCACCCTATTTTTCTTTATCATGGAGAAGCCATCTGTTGTGACATTGTCACTTTTGCCACGCCTAACTATCATTTGTGGGGAAAATGCATAATGTGTGATATGCAGGAGTTTTTTGTGTAATCTATGGATGACTTGAATATGAAAAGGGGTCTAAATTCCCGCATTGCAATATAAATAAATTATATACATTTTACGCCTGAAAAGAACATCTTGTTATTAAGATGCCAGAACCATGGTGATACTTCTCAATCCACAACTGAAATACCATCTAATAAGTTTCTAGCACAAACCCAGCTCACACTTTGCTGGTGGTGGATTGGATTAAGCTAGTCCATATTTTTGCGAAGCAGGAAGATGTAGATGGATACACAAACTCGTTTTGCCCCGGTGTTTAGGCCTCTTTTTTTAATTCATAGTGTATTCAGCTATCTAGCTATGACACATTTATAATTTATAATTCTAACTTTCCTCTCCTAATGAATAACTACCCATTCATTTCAAATATATTATTTCACAATTATATGTCCTAATTTAACTCACTTTTTGTGCTGCCATGCACTTGGATGTATCCAAATATTGAAGTAGTGCCTCCTTCCCCTTTTTTGTTCGCAATAAGGTTTGAAGTGATCTCAGCTCTAGGCCCTGAAAGCATTTGTTCCTTTGATCTTTGAATTTAGGACAGTATAACAACAAGTGCTGCACATTCTGTCTTTCATTACCACCAGAATTGCAAATATTGTCTCGGACCTTTCCCATTATGTGCAGGTAGACCCTAGTATATCCCACTCCAAGTCTTGCCTGGAAGAATCCAAATTCTATTTACCTGATGTGTTCTTGGAATGCGAGTAGTTTGTAAGAGAAATTGGGTTCATTAGTCTGGGCCTGGAGCCTGTAATACTTGCCAAGTCCTTTGACCTTTCGACCTTCTGTTATGATGTGAAATCACCCAGCCAATTAGACAAGCTGTATTAGATGATATAGAGATCTATACAAGATTTGGTTGGTGTAGTGACATTATAACAGTTGCATGTGGATGGTGTGAACAAGAATGTAAACTATTCTATAGCATATGATAGAATATCTTACATCACAAGATGGAATATTCTACTAGCAATTAGATAGATGAGCTTTAGGTATAAATAGGAGTATTCTCCTTCATTTAGATAGCAATCATCAGGAAACGAATCTAATAAAGCGAACACATATCATCACCCACTTTATAATAGTGTCAAGCACATATTGATAAAGCCACTGTTTGTATGCAATTCCCCTCCTCATAATCACAATACCTTCCTCTTCATGCCAGAGCTCCAAGTCACAATCTTTTTTTCATACCTTAAGAACCCAGTCGCTAGCCTGGTACTTGATGAAAGAGGGGGACTGTTTTCCAAATCTGTCGGTGGCGTTCCCTACGAACCTCCAGCTCTCACTGTAGAGTCTGCAGAGCCGAGATTGAGTAACAAAGTCCTCACTTCGACGAGGATTCCCAATCGCATTCGCGGTCTGTATCGTCTTCATTCCTAAGCACATTCCCCTATCGTCATTACCATGAAGTTAATCACGATCAGATCAGACGGTAGGGTCGGAGCCCTTCTCATCACCAACCCTTGATCATGGAGGAGAAGCCATTCGATGAGTTTCTGGAGCGTACGCAGCACCCGATACGGAGATGGTTGGTTAGATCAACTAGGCATCTAATGTTACAATGAGGAGAAATGTAGATGAATATATGCACCCCATGTGGTCGCGGTGTCTAGGGCTCGCCTGGCTGAGGTTGCAGGTTTTTTGAGACTTTTCCCCGCGCACGAAGTTTCCATTGCCACCATTTTTATTTTTTTTGGGTGGAAGGTTCCGTGGAAAAGGTTGCTGAATTCTACGGGTAAATACTGAGCTGAATGGCTATTTATCAAGGGGAATATATCAATGATCTTTCAAGTAACAAAAGAGGCAGGGAGCACTGTACGAGGTGTAGCCTGGGTCAGAGAGGAGCCCAATGTGCTAGATAGTCATAGACTCAAGTAGTACAATAAACACACACACAAACTTGATGAATGAGTAAGAGGTAAAGTGGTCCCTTTTCATAACTGACTGGTTTCGACCTCCTGCAGTCAGCTCATTTCCTTCTATGCCAACATGACCTGGACACCATGTTGGAAATTCTGACTCTCGAATTTAGGACTCAACCATTACCTATTTCGTCTCAGGTTCCCGACAAGATCGACTCTCTCTATAAATGTCCCGAGTACGCTAATCGCGCCTACTGTCGCCTATACGGTTGTTTTAGAATAAGATTCTTGTATACGAGTGGTACGTAAGTAATGGAGGTAGAATTGATAAAGTATTGAGTTAATCTATCGTGTATGATTCTCGCGATCGCAGCATCCTTTAATGCTGCGCCCATACTCGTATTAATATGTGTCTGCCAGCCTCGTCTATCCGCTAATACAGAACTACTAATACAGGGTATCTAAGATCTCCAAACGCCTTACCCACTATACTCCTAAGTAAGTAATAAATACAACCATAACTCCATTATGTTTAGGTACAGGAATGATTATGTTTGACCAACAATCTTACAATTCAACAGTTTGGATATTTACGTACTACAGTGTACCTTGGCTCATCATGGTAGATGAGAGGTGGCTGGTCATCATTAGGTTTGACAGGCACATGAGACTAGTGGGAATTTCTCCCCTAAGATGTATATATAAGTCCAATGTTCACACAGTTGTAAAATATCAAGTCTTCTTTACTTCATCATATTTATCCATATAATATCGTATAGAGTATATTTTCCAACACACCATAAGAGATGAACTGTGCATTATTTACATATCATTCTGATCTGGGAACAGAATTGATTGCTATTGTGCTAGATTCGAAGAATTCTTGTCTGGCTATCAGTGAAAATTTATATAATTATTAGAATTGGGAATAATTGGGGCTATCTAGTAGGCCACGTTGTTGGTATGCACGTGACTACAAATTCTGTAATTAGTTTCACTTCGGTAGTCACTCGAATCAATGCGCTCTACAACCTCAATGACCGAGGGGTCATTATTTCCTTAATCATAGTCTTATTAGCAAAATTATTATTCAGCTATTTCGCTGTTTTCAAATTCCAATGGTTTCAGAATCTGTGATACCCATAGAGTCAGCAAGGTTGTATGAAAAGCATTTCATCTCTCTGGTGACAGGCAGGTATATCACAAAGCCTATGCTGCTTTCAGCTGTCTTTGAAAGTGATACATCAGTGTAGAACAAGACATCATCCAAATGGATAACATTGATATGCTGGATGTGGGATATTTTGGTTGTTGCCTCTGTATTGTTGAAATAGTGGTATTTATATTAGATTGATGCCATAGTGGAATCCAGAGAGCATTTAGCTGCTATAGATTCTTCAGGGAAGCCAATGGCTTCAGAGAACTTCCAATCCTAACCAGCTGGGTCACTGGTTTGTTGATGTAATTCAATAATCCAAGGTCAATCTGATTAGTGCTTGCTAGTTCATCTTCCATGGGACTGAACAGGTGTTCCTAGGTAGGGTGGTTCTTTTGAAGTCGAAGTATCCTTAGCCCATAGTAAATCACCTTCTGATGTCGAACTTTTGCTGGTAAGATTGAGGTCTAAACCTGGTGTTTAGGCCTCGCCTAGCGGTGTTAAAAGATTTTTGAGAATATTTCCCATCTACGCAGTTTTCACTGCTGGAGGGCAAGATAAAACACCTGTCTGCGGTGTCCTCTACGAACCTGGGAGTGAAATATTCTCCCAGAGCGAAGTTCAGTCAGATTTCGCAATATCAAAGAAGTTGGCCCACGAGGCAATGATTCAAATTACTCCACCACGCTAATCTTTCACTTCCAAAGAGATCGAACCCTACCCAAGCCTCATAAAGTCTACATATACGACCCAGTATATCCTCATTCCAATGATCACACCTATCATCGACTTTCTCTAGCCTCAGCTCGTCACCAAATACACGCCCACGCCTATATTTATACCCGCAGGAAGAAGCAAAGCGTGGTGCACAAATCTGGGAGATAGTTCTTCTGGATGGACGTGAGAGAAATCTAAATATGCTTACAAGATGGTACGGAGGATGGATTCAATCTAGACGAGCGTGAAAGTTTGGATTTTGGCAAGGAGTTTTACGAATTGGGCTTTGTGCGCAGCAGTACTTCGCTTGCAAAAATTTTGGTTTGTTTTTTTTTTAATACATTCAATGTGTATTCAGCTATCTAGCTATGACACATGACCGATGCTATGTAAACATGTGGGATGACTCTTTTGACGTTAGAGACACTCATACTCTGGATTTCATTCGCAAATACCACTATGAGGTATGCTTGCTTACACAAACAGTCGACCCTCCTCCGTTAGTACCCACCAAAGGGAATTTCGAAACCTTTGGTTATCCAAGCATGCCTTCGTCATCCATGTATACCAGCGCCGCGAGAAAAGTGGTTGTGTTTTGCCTGATTTGAACCAGCGATCTACTGTCTCGAGTGGGATATGTGTCTAAGCTATCCAGACTCTACTTGGCAGACCGGCCAAGACGATGTACCACCGCACCATCCAACCATGGCGATGTTTATAGTGTCGCTTGCACTCTCGCAACCGAAGCATTGGCACGCACAAAGCTCAACTTGTAAAAACTCCTTGCCAAAAGTCGAAATTCCACGCCCGTCGAGACTGTATCCATCCTTCGCATCATCTTGTGAACTTGTCATGAATCCTCTCACGCCAATCCCAAAGAGCTATCTCTCAGATTTGTGCACCACGCTTTGCTTCTTCCTGCGGGTGTAAATATAGGCGTGGGCGTGTATTTGGTGACGAGCTGAGGCTAGAGAAAGTCGATGATAGGTGTGATCATTGGAATGAGGATATACTGGGTCGTATATGTAGACTTTATGAGGCTTGGGTAGGGTTCGATCTCTTTGGAAGTGAAAGATTAGCGTGGTGGAGTAATTTGAATCATTGCCTCGTGGGCCAACTTCTTTGATATTGCGAAATCTGACTGAACTTCGCTCTTGGAGAATATTTCACTCCCAGGTTCGTAGAGGACACCGCGTACATGTGTTCAGTCTTGCACTCCTAGAGGACTTCAATTGTCGATGAGGCAACGGCGCTCCCAGCGCCTTGGACGGCACCAAAGAAGTTGGGCTTAGCTACTATACAGCTATCACACTTTATCGAGACTTTTCCGACATTACAGCACGATCTTCGGGGAAGGAGTTGGGAGGAGGCTAGAAAGACAGACGGTGAATTTCGCGAGGTTCCCACAAGTCTTCAGAGCCAAGCTGGCCGGCCTTTTCAAAGGCTTTAGAAGGGTCATCACGTCTACAAATTTTGTCCTAATGTTGGTACTAGAAGAACTCCGCACGCAGTGGTTTCTGCGATTTTTCCCGGCTGCCATACACCCGAAGATGGCCATAGTTTCGTTGGCTGGAGAGGGGAGATAGTGAAGGGCAAATGGCTACTCTAATTATGTGATCGGATGAGGATTTGTAAGGGGTGGTTCTTTTTGAGGGGAGCTGTATGGGAGGCATAGCAGGGGATATTCTAACGGCACAGGTATTCTTAGCCTGTAGGCAGAGAGGACCTGCATATCATACACAGTCATAGACTCAAACTAGACAGTTAAATAATCAATAGTAAGAATAATATCCTTTGCATACTGTCGCTATTTCGCCAAACTAAATAGTCACGTGATAACTAACTTCGTTTGGGCTAGCAAGACACACAAATCCAAATTGACTGATTGCCGCATTTTATCTGCCCATACTATAAACAACATCACGCCAGCTTCGACAAACGCCCAGGTTTACAATGAAGTACATTCATTCCGAAGAGACCTTGAACATTCCTCAAGGTGGTGAGTTATCTAGCGATCCTTCAATTTTCTCAAGGCATAATGCACCACCATCTTTGACTATTATTCTATCTATTGCTCATGAGAAGAAAAAGATGCTAACGGCCTACACAAAACAGTCAAGGTCCTGATCAAATCTCGCCTGGTGACCGTTGAAGGCCCTAGAGGTATTCAATCAAAGCATCCAGCATATTGCGACTTGAATATTACAACCAGATTGACATCAGACAGGCAAACTAACGAAAAACCTCAACCACCTCGCCGTAAACTTCTCTAGCCCCAAAAAAGATATCATTAAGATTGAATTACACCACGGAGCGCGGAAGAATGTTGCGACCCTACGTACCGTCCGAACATTGATAAACAACTTAATCATCGGCGTCACTAAGGGATTTAAATATAAGATGAAATACGTGTATGCACATTTCCCAATAAATGTCAACATAGATAAGAATAACGAGACGGGATTGTATGAAGTTGAGATACGGTATGCGATCAAATGAATATCTTGGAATCTGTTAAAGTTACAAATCTAACTTCTTCCTAGCAACTTTATTGGAGAGAAGATTGTTCGAAGAGTCGTAATGCACCCTGGTGTCGAAGTAGTTACTTCCACAAACCAAAAAGATGAGCTGCAAATCACTGGAAATTCCTTGGAGAACGTATCCCAAAGTGCTGCCGATATCCAGCAGGTCTGTAGAGTAAGGAACAAAGATATTCGAAAGGTAAGCAAATCATCCAGGTGTCTCCCAAGGCATGAACTTCTTAATTAGATGAATAACCTCCCTGATAACGATCACAGTTTTTGGACGGTCTATATGTCTCAGAGAAGGGAAACATTGAGGAAGCAGCATAAGGCTCGAGTTCAAAGGGAAATTTTTTTGGGACCAAAGCGAAACTGTGGATGCTTTGAATGTCAGCTAGAAACTGGTCCATAATGAAGATAAAATCCTTTGGAGTTAAACTAGCCAGTGATGACCGCCGAAGCCCAACTTATCGGATTGACTACTGGCTAAAAATTTCATCTCCCAAGAGTGGGTGTATAACTATATCCTTTAGGCAGGAACTATGAGTGACCTGCGTTTCTACATTCCATATTAGGAATCAAGTTTAGTGCTTTAATATGGAGAAAATCTTGAATCCAAATTTAAGTGGACCCGAAAGATCTCATTGTAATCATATTCCCGAAATTCGCCTTCAATAAACCAAAAAAATTCAACCTCTTGATGTATATGAAGTATGAATCGCTCACTAGAGGGAAGTTGAGACGATAAAGATATCAAAACAGTTCTTATCGTCCTGGATTAAAGTTTCAGGAAGCTCACAGGCAGCAATTTCTAGACTTAACTAATAATTTTGCTATTTGCAACTTTATTGCCTCATCATCAGGCAACTAAGACCATCTATTTCCGTACACAAACAATAAAACAGGGGTAGATCCAAGCCATATTACTCCAAAGTCCATGTTTTCTCGATTCAAATCTTAAACTCCTAGTACCCGAGCTGTGTCCACCTGTTGTTGCATCACTAATAGGATTTGTAACTGATACAAAATTCGTGATGGATCCACAGTTCTGAGTTGTTGGATTTGCTAACGACAAAAGCAACGGTCTGGACTGGAAGATGTAAATAAGATTGCGATCTTGGCAACGAGTTAGTAGATTTGTGGTAATAGATAGAGCGATTGGAATAACCTATTTCGTGGTGTGAATTATCTCCTTCCCTCAACTTAGTCCTTGAGTTATCTTGAAACCCTTATCTACGCTAAATTTTATAAAAGATTATAATAGATGATTTACATGAATAGTTGCACACCATGCCCTTGCGCGATGATAGGAGGTTTCTCCACGAATATTTCTCCCCATCGTGTGGTACAGGTATTCTTCATCAGTCGATCAGATCATATTCAAGTTTAGAGGCCTGTAAATTTTTTCCACGACTTATTTTCAATCATGAAATATATTCAGACGGAAGTCCTCGACAGATCGTAAGATATGTCTATACCTTTTGATAGGGTTGGATGGTGCAGTGGTACACCATTCGGGCCCTTCTCCAAAGTAGATTCTGGGTAACTTGTACATCTACTTCATTTGAGACAGGAAAAAGCTGGTTCGAATCCAGTAAAACAGACACACCATTCTCTCTCTCTCGCGATGATTTTGTATTTGTGGAACGATGAAAACACACTCGGATAGCCACAGGGTTTTCACGCTTTTCCCTGTGGTGGGTATGCACGGAAGAGATTATATGCCGCAAGGGCTAACTTCGAGTGGTATCTGCAAATGAAATCTGAGTGTGAGTGTTCAAAACATCAAATTGAGTCATCCCGCTTCTAGAACTTATCTTGCGATAAAACTGCATGGGTCTCAGGGCGCCAAATCAGGATAATTGTATAAATTATTTATCTTACACCTTTTGAGCATTTGACACGAAAGATAGATGGACTAAGTTTCATCACAGAGGCGCAAGCAAATTAACGTCGTAGCCTGGGCTATAGGTTTACGCAGATCTTGAGCGAGCATATTGGCTCGCAACTCGACTTCTTTTGAGGGAAATACTTAGGGTTGTCTAGTCCTGCGTGCCAGTGCAGATATCTGCCGCAAAATTTGAGCATAATATATGCATCAGTTTAATGATGTGGTATGCTCTCTCTGTTGTTCCACAAAAGTCATAGACTATCTAGCACATTGGGCTCCTCTCTGACCCAGGCTACACCTCGTACAGTGCTCCCTGCCTCTTTTGTTACTTGAAAGATCATTGATATATTCCCCTTGATAAATAGCCATTCAGCTCAGTATTTACCCGTTGAATTCAGCAACCTTTTCCACGGAACCTTCCACCCAAAAAAAATAAAAATGGTGGCAATGGAAGCTTCGTGCGCGGGGAAAAGTCTCAAAAAACCTGCAGCCCCAGCCAGGCGAGCCCTAGACACCGCGACCACATGGGGTGCATATATTCATCTACATTTCTCCTCATTGTAACATTAGATGCCTAGTTGATCTAACCAACCATCTCCGTATCGGGTGCTGCGTACGCTCCAGAAACTCATCGAATGGCTTCTCCTCCATGATCAAGGGTTGGTGATGAGAAGGGCTCCGACCCTACCGTCTGATCTGATCGTGATTAACTTCATGGTAATGACGATAGGGGAATGTGCTTAGGAATGAAGACGATACAGACCGCGAATGCGATTGGGAATCCTCGTCGAAGTGAGGACTTTGTTACTCAATCTCGGCTCTGCAGACTCTACAGTGAGAGCTGGAGGTTCGTAGGGAACGCCACCGACAGATTTGGAAAACAGTCCCCCTATGGAGCCATTTATAAAAGCTAGAGAGCTTTAAATTGATGTAACTAGTTTGCCCCTTGCCTATTTTTATTTTTGGGATTTGTTCTCCATTTAATACCATCTGTAAATCACGAGAGTCAACGGGAGGCCGATATTTTTGTTTCATTCCATCTCCGAGCTTAGGCTAACAAGAATCTGGTTTTTATTTGCTATGTTCGCGCCTACAAGTTCGGTAGGTTTATTTATAACGGGCTAACCGTCACCTGAGGAGCTGATGCACTGGGCGGGGGCACGACGTTGATTTATTTGAATTTTAAATTACAAACCTAATGTTGCGTCCTATGGGCCCATGCAGGTGGTTAAAAACCTATCTGCATACTTAAATAGGAGGATCTATGTCGGTGAAAATCCCCCAACTATTTGATTTATTTCATGAATTTTGCAATTTATCCTTCAAGAACCGCAATTGCATCGTAGTGCTATCTTTGTGAACCAATCATTCCCTTGTATCGATACCAAACTTGTTTCCGTCTTGTCTCGTTCCCTAAGCAGCATGTCAACTGCATGGAGGGCAAGACTGAACACCTGTATGCGGTGTCCTCTACGAACCTGGGAGTGAAATATTCTCCCAGAGCCAAGTTCTGTCAAATTTCGCAATATCAAAGAAGTTGGCCCGCGAGGCAAAATTTAAAATTACTCCATCACGTCGTTTTTCCGCTCCCAACGAGTTAAACGCCTACAGTCAGACCCCTGATAAGACGATATTTTTTTCCAGAACATACTTCGTTCCCATACATTTACCGATAACACGATCTTCGTTCTACAAACTCTGAATATCGTCTTAACCAGGGTTTTTTTGCTAGGTTGGTGCTATAAACTCCGCCAAAAAAGGGAATTCTGTTATGATCTGAGACAACGAGGTAGTCGAGGCTAGGGCATCGCGTGTGGCTCAAGGCCACAGCATACATCACTAGTGTACTGGTTAGGCGAGCATGTATATAGTTTCATAGATGTACCCATAATAAATGGACACAGGTTTAGTCTTATACTTTCTGTCCATATACCTACAACATAGTATTGTATGAGGCTACTCACTGTCAACCACAAATTATAACATCATCCACTCCTCATCACTCCGCAATGTGACTTCCGCATAGCTCATAACCACAACAAATTCCTGTGGAGCAGCGATATTCTCTGTATGACGATATTTTTCACGGCCCCGATTACGTCAGATTAACAGGGGTTTGACTGTACCTAAGTCTCATCAAGTCTACAACTAAGACCTAGTACATCCTCATCCCAATGACCACACCTCTCTCCGACCTTCTCTGGCCTCAGTTGACCAACAAATACACGCCCACGCCGATATTTATACCCGACGGAGGAAGCAAAACGTGGTGCACAAATCTTGGAGACAGCACTTTGGGATGGACGTGAGAGGGATCAGGACAAGTTGACAATATGATGCGAAGGAAGGATACAACCTCGAAGGGCGCGAAATTCCGAATTTTGGCAGGAGTTTTACGAATTGAGCTTTGTGCGCGCGAAGACTTCGCTCCCGAGAGTGCAGCTGACACTATAAACACAAGCCAACGATGGAAGGTGTTGTGGTCCGCCTCCTGGTGGTGCTCTCTGGTATAGTTTGAGTAGCCTGGGCACCTACTCCACTTGGGAAGGAAACACCTCAGATCACATATCGCGCGGAGAAAATTTGAAAGACGATGGAGGCATGTCTGGATAACTCAGGGTTTTTGAGACGTTCCCCTGGGTGGATATTCACGGATGAGGGTTGACTTGGGGTCAAGAAAAAGCCGCCATAACTTCGCAGTGGTACTTGCAAATGAAATCTGAGACATGAGTGCTCTTCCTTTACGTTGAATCATCTATTCTGTACTTATCTTTGATATTGTTTTATTTTTGTTTGTCTATTTTGTCCTAAGCTAAAGCCATGTTTTCCACATTGGGTCAAGGACAGGCGGGGCCTGCAGGGTTCCCTGTAATCTTTCCTACAGCATAACTCGTTTTTTTTTAATTCATTTTATTGTCCTGTCTGAGTCTATGACTATGTAGGACATGCAGGTCCTCTCTGCCTACAGGCCAAGGATACCTATGCAAGTAGTATATCCCCTCCTATGCCTCTCATAAAGCTCTCCTCAAACAGTACCACTCCTCACAAGCTCTTCTTCGATCATACACCTAGAGCTCTTAGCCCTTCATTATCTCCCCTCTCCAGCCTACGAAACAATGGCCATTTGCGCGTGTATGGCAGCCGGGAAAAATCGCAAAAACCACTGGGTGCGGAGCTCTCCTAATACCGACATTAGGACTAAATCCGAAGACATAGTGATCTTCATGAAGCGTTCGGAGAGGCCGGGCAGCTGGGCGCTGCAGACTTGTGAGTACCTCGGGAAATTCACCCTCTGCCTTTCTAGTCTCATCCCAACTCCTTCCCCGAAGGTCGTGCTGAAATGTCAGAAAAGTCTTGACAGAGCGTGATTGCTGTATAGTAGCTTAGCCTAACTTCTTTTATACCGTCCAGGGCGCTGGGGAGTGCCGTTGACTCATCGACAAAAGAAGCCCTCCTGGCTAATTAGCCGAAATCTTGGTCTTGACGCCCACAAAAAATCCAAAGTTGAAAACTCTTCGAAAATGACAGTCCCAGCATGGTCTTCAGAGACTTCTTTCTCCTCTCGCTCCACATCTCAGCCGCTTGTTCTTCCTCAAGATGTATAACCCCATTAGAGCAGCAGTCCCTCATAAACCAAGACCCCAACTTTGTATTTTTCGACTTGATTTCCTCCTTGCGGGTATAAATAGCGTCGTAAATATGTAGAGAGTGATGGCCGGTAATGAATGAGGCAAGCTCCTGTTTGCAATTGGGGTGACGCCTTTATCGGTCGGCGAGGCGAGTTGATATTTGGTTAGATCGGGGTTGAAGACTCAGAAGATAATGATGAGTGCTGCATGGTTGAGAAGTCGTCAAATGGAGTTATACATGTGTTTGCTTTCGACTTCGATTCGGATGCGATTCTTCTTGGCTATCCCAGATATGCAGAGCATACTGAGCGATTTCACCGGCACCACTGGAAGGTGAAGAATTCGTCTTTGCCGGCCAGCATAACTCGTTCCAACCTCGTGAATCGCTACCAAAAGTGCAGCTGATTAAACTGAGACGAAATATCAAGAAAATCAAAACAACTCCGAAAGAACAGAAGATTCCTCCATAATGAACCCAGTCAATGTGCTCCTCAACCATTCCGCCGTTCGTCACAACTTCCAAATGACAAATTTACTTAATCTCCGCTGAGAGCAGTAGATGAGTTAGCAGGCACCTTTGATCCAACCGGTATCCTACTAATTGTTAGTAGATCTCCCAGAAGGGGACATCGTCGAGGTTGCTGTGTCCTCGAACTTCTTCTTCAGGTCCCAGCACTCCGAAACTTGTTGCCTCGGCCATTGCGGTATCCTTCGCCGCGGCGCCAATCGCCTCTTCGGCCTTTTTGGCTGCGGCCCTAGCTCGAGCCGCCTCCGCGAACTTCCCTTGCTCGAGGTGGCGTATCCACGCTATTGGAGGGTGGTGATGTATATGGTTGTATACACTTGGTATCTTCAATTAAATGGTTATGACTACTCAGGGGGCTTAGAATATACTTGGATGATTATGGCAATAAATGTTACGGGATACGAATGGTATCTTATTGTGTTATTGTGTCATGTTATGTTACAGGTTATGTTCATGATAATTAACCAATCCCACATACTTCCAGATAGCGCCGTAGCTAGTCTCTTTTAGGAGTTATCTACGGTTGAGTGTATCGATCGGTGGTATCTAATTTATCACTAACCTGTTTCCATTTCCCTGGCTCTGCGTGCTACACAACATGGATGACGATTTACTACTAATGAGAAAAGCGCATTCATGACACACGCGAGCTGCTCTTTTGTCACCGGTCCAGACTTTCTGGGACTGACTTGGCAGTCCCGAGAATCCGATCGGTGGGGTCCCCCACAGTTACGACACTTTGTGAGGGCCCTGCACTCGGCTTCCGAGTGCATAGTTGATCCACAGTTCCAGCAGGCGGGAGCAACCACGAGTGGCGTGAAAGCCCAAACAGCGTTTACACTGTTCAATTTGTCGACGAGGCTTGTGTATGGTAGCCCTACCAGACTCGTCGAAGAGGCGGAAGCCCGCACGAGGGGCGACTTCCCGGTCGAAAAGGGCATGCCATTTTCGGTGCGGTGCACCAGGTGGACACGTCCCATGAGGTCGGACGTGTATTGGTCTCGCGCCGGTCATAACAGCGATTTGTCGAAGACCCACTCAGAATCGGCCGCCATGGGGCCTCGCTCTGTGATTATACTTACAGGTACGTTGGGTATCTGTAAGGCTACAAGATCTGAAGATGCCTCGAGTTTGGCGCTTTTACTCGCCAGCTTCGAAGAGCCATCTAGCATCTCTTGTCGTGTTTTTTTTTCCTTTGCTAGCATAGCAAAGCCGGTCCTCACTCGATGAAGCGAGGTTATTTTATGTTGAAAGAAAAGGAATCTCATCTCCAGTTTACTTCTCACGCAACTTGTGGACAGTTTTCGCCACGGGTGGTCTTTTTCAAGGCGAAGAAACAGTCGCTTGTCGACTTTCGCCTTGGGGGTTTCTTTTTGGTGGGCTTTTGCCGCAGGTCGCGGCACAGCCTTAACAGTAGGTACTACTTTTTGTGACAGCCCGTTTCTGGCCACCGTGGCTCAGGTGCTTTTTATAGGCAGCGCTGGGACGGCGGGAATCGTTGTGCTCCTGACGTCGGGAGCCCTTGGGATCGAGTTTGCCGGGCGAGGAGGGAGGACGGGTGGCGTAGAGGCTGGGCCCGTGGCCATGTATTGCGCAATGGCGGCGCGTAGGTAGACTCTCATGGAGTCTAAGAATTGTCTTTCTGACCCGTTGGTCAAAGAGAGTAGGGTGGCTTCGACGCCAGAGATGGCGGCGGAGCAGAAAGCCAGATTTGCCGCTATTTCGGCGGCGCGTCGTTGTTCAGCTTCGATAATTTGTCGGAGCTCGAGGGGACACTCTGCTTTTGTGGCAGCTTTTGGCTGCGACGTTGATGTTGACGCTGCTATGGGTGCAGCGTTTTCCGACGGTTTGAAGGTAGTCGGAGGAGGTTTGGACGATTCTCCAATCCCGTGGGGGACGGAGGCTCGTTGAGGAATTTCCTCAACAATTTCGACTGACCCGATCATGTCAGTATCGGGTTCAGCGACGGCGGGGAGGGCTTTTTCCTTCCCTTTGATGGAGACCTTTCTCATCTCCGTGCATTTCGGAGACTGGGCAAGGCCAGGTACTTGTTCGAGCCCTCGGGTGGACACTCGTGCTGTCCAACTTGGCGTTGGGACGCTTTTTTCGAACAGGTGGCATGGTGAAAATGCCAGTGACTCGATGACAATGATTTGATAGAATGCGACGAGCGCGAGAGGGAGGGAGAGGGGGAAAAGATGAAGATTCGAAAATTCGAATTCCAAAAAATTAGTTGTGTTTCTTTGATATTGTGTCATAGCTAGATAGCCGCGTACGCAATTAAAATCTGATGCAAAAAAAATAAAAATATCAACTGCATCTCCATTCTGAGTTGTTTTATCAAACCATGTCTAAGGATCTATTGCGTGATTCTTTTAATATCGCTTGGATGATCAATCATTGCTTCATAGGAAAGTTTTCTTGCTTTTCTCCACATCTATCTTCTACCAATTGATCATTCAGGGTAGGATATGATCATATGCTTGCTAGCCACACGGATAGCATTGATTGTATACTCCTGGTTCTTTTCTTATGTGTAGGTACCTACGTGTATCATAGTGGCTTTCCCTTTCTGAGTTTTACACAAGTACCTGTCCTAGAAATCCTAGACAAGGAATAACCTAGTCTTTAACTCTGCCTCAACTTTGAGCCTTGCGTTATGGATGGATAGTTTTGCACTTCTGGATGGATTTATTGGTAGTATTCCGAGAATGGGTGTAATAAATTAAAGGAGTGAAGAGCCTCGGCGACTTACTGTAAAGGTGTGGGTGCTACGCTACAAGCTATCATGTAATTAGAAAATTGTCTTGCATTCATAATTGGGAATTAGCAAGGTCGAAGCCACCAGGGCAGTAAGCAGTGGTGTCTATGCCTCGAGTTAGTTTAGTGGGTAGTAGGGACCTAAACCAAGGCTTGGTGCCCCGACAGACAAAATATATAACACAAATAACTCTTCTGTATAACCATGATAAAGCCCAATGTGCTTGCTTCGAATTTGGATTGACGACGTAAATCATTGTTAATAAAAAAACAAACGGGCAATATATCAATGATCTTTAAAGTAACAAAAGAGGGTAGGTGCACTGTACAAGGTGTGGCCAGGTTCACGGTGCAGACCAACGTGCTAGATAGTCTATGACTCAAGTAGTGTAACAAACAAAAACAAACACAATAGCTCTGTGTATTCGGACATAAACTGTGTATCTGCTGTCGTCTTGGCATCAGCGGCGAAAATAAATTCACACTATGCGTGAGATTACTATTTTGTGCTCGCTCACGTCACCGCTATTGCTACCCAATGGCTAATGTCTTGATAGTTTTGCCCCACTTTGAAAATTTTCCTATTTTTCAATTTATCATGAAATATCAATTTTTGTCGTACACTGTGAAGCCAGAAGGGTGGTTCGGGTAAACTCTCACTACAGGAGGAATAGCTCGGCGATCTGCCTGAGGCTTAATTTTTAATTTGTAATTTTGACGCACCACATGCTTGGTGTAAAGAATCGCAGGGTCATGGCATGTTGTCGGAGATGTGTAGCCTTGTAACGAATTCCCTATCGCGAGAACTATTATTCAACTTCAGTAGAGTCGACAACCCAATAATTAACCAGCTAAGACTTTAAGGTTTTGCCCAAGATCATCTCTTCATTGGTCTTTAGAAAGATCAGAAGAACTCATTTCAATCAATGACATTGAAATTTTCTCTTGATTGCAGAAGCAAGCAACCGCCACCGCGAATGTTGTTTAATGCAACCTCTTAATCCATTCCTAAAAGCCTTTTTTAAGAGTGCACTGCCAGCGCAGTGTACTCCGGTTCAAAATCACGTAAGCTCTTCTATAAATGCTCTTAAGGCGCGCGTTTTCTTACAACTACAGGTCTTGTTAGTACCCACAACTGAGGTCTTCTTCACCTCTCACGATAGTGAATCTGGTGCTTCATATGCAGATCTTGCCACATCAGAAGAGTTCCTCAGCAGTCATGTACTGCGAATTCCGACCCATAATGTTGAAGCGGCGGCAAAGGAATCTCCAAATATGCGTGAGAACAGGGGGAAAGCTAAACAATACGCGACAATTAACGGAAGAATGGTAGTCGTTAAGGACACCTATGTTTACAGTAGTAAGGGTAAATAATCCGAATATGAGGTTTGAATTAGAGTATATGCTAACTCAAGCCAGGCTTCAAGACTCATGTTCAAGCACAGCTTTTATCAGATTCACTTTACTTCCCAGATTCACTGGAGCCTCGTCCATGGCTAATTTACTTTATTTCTATGCCACTAATCGGCACTTTAAAGGAAACAAGAAATGTAACAGCGAATTCATCCAATGTTTCGCAGGGATGGAAGTTCCAACCGCAGCCTCTGATCACAACTGGAAGTGAAATGTTGGAGACTTGTGATGGTCTACCCTCCAAAAAAAGTATACAATCCTTTAATGAATTGCTCAACAAATTCCCCCTAATCGCGAGGCAGATGCAGCCTGGTCTCGAAAACTTATTTAAAGAATTTAATATGGTCTTTGAAAAACCGCTACCACCTCCACCCTCAGCGACAGTAATTCCTGACCCTTTACCTAGCAGAAAAATATCAGCCCCTGTTTTGATTGAAATACCTGTGCAAAAATCTAGAGCATACGGAGATGCTGAACAGCTCGTGGTGGAGAACATTGACATTGAAATCGAAGAGGATACCATACGAAGTGCATTAGAAACAGCCGTTACATCAGCAATCGACCTATTTCAGATGGTTGATAAACATCAATTATCACTTCTTGGTGGAACGACGGATCTCACTGGTCCCATGGTTGAACGAATGATTGAACAATACGTGGCCGAGCAGGTTCACGATAAAATATTTTACCCAAGGCTATGTTCATACAAGAGAGTAGAAGACATGAAACTTCAATCACTAATTCGACAGATGGCTTGTGTTGACATCTCGCAAGTGGGCATTGTCATCCAAGGTGGACAGCAAGGGAAGTATGAATTAACCCTAAGATTGGGACAAGCTGTTGGAGAATTTCGTAAACTTTGTGTTGCTCGTAGTCCACAAAAAATGATGGAAATTCTACTAGTTACTCTAAAGACAGTGACACAGCTTACAGAAGTTACTCGGCAGCCTGAGAATAGAGATCCTTCATCCTCCGAAAAAATCAGTCCAATATTGACCATGAACGCTGACGCTCTTGTCTCACTCCTTTTAATTGTCGTTATAAGGGCTAGAGTTCATTATTTACAGGCACGCTTATACTACATGAGAAACTTTATCTTTATCGACGACGTTGAGGGTGGGGAAATGGGATACGCGCTTAGTACTCTTGAAGCTGTACTTTCTTACGTGTGCCGTGATTCTGGGGGATTACGAAAGGCAAGTAGACGAAATCTAAAGCTATGGCAAGCGACCAAAAAGGGCAATATAAAGGAAATTATGAATATCATGGAACCAGACTTAGAGCAGTCGTCTGATGAAATCGAAATATCTGATGGCACCAACACAGATCAATTCACTGATGAGAACACTCTAGTTAACTCCTTCAGTAAACACTCAGGAATTGATATGTGTGCTTCTACAGCTGTCCCGCCATCTATCTCGTCAAATCTTGGTCACGTGTTTCCATGGCATAATCATCCAGTTGCACAAGCTGACCCAGAGCCAGAGTTTCGAAAACAAAAAACAGTCACTATGGAAATGCGAAGCTATTCTAGTTGCTCTGAGGTCTCCATCCAGTCGTGTGCCGCCACCATAGATACTTCAAGTAGTGGCGCGGAAGGCGATACTTCGATACAAAGACTCTCGCAAACAGAAAACTCTTCTGGTGAATCGATTCTAATGATGGCCATTCAAAGTAAACAAATCAACTCTCTGAGATACCTTTTAACCTTAACGAAATACTATCCGCCACATTTTATTATTGGGGACACAAAGAATGATGGTACGACCCTTCTGATTGCAGCTGTCCAACTTGGGCATCTTGAAATTATCAATTTACTTATCGAGTTTCTCTTCCAAACGCAGGATGATTCAGCTATCGTTAATTATCTAATAAAGCAAGATGTCAGTGGTAGAAGCGTTGCCCATTATCTTTTCAATGCGCCATCACTAATTTCGAGACTTGGACGTATGCTTCCATGGAGGCAAAAAGATCAGAATGGCCAAACGCCACTCTTTGCACTTTGTCGATCTTATGATCATAAAAATTACAAGGAAATGATCGAAGCTGCTCTATTTGCGGCAACAATTTCGCAAGGAGACAACCTGCCTCTACACATCGACGATCATGTTGACTTAAAAGGAAATACGTTACTACACATTGTTAATGATCCCCAAGTGGCTCTTCGAATATTGGTTCAGTGCGATTCGGATGTAAATGCCACAAACAACAAACATTTTACGCCATTAATGGTCGCTAGCAAGTATGGCCGACTAGAAATGGTCCGAATATTGTTTGGTGATGAACGAGTAGACATATTTGCTAGGGAACTGCGCGGGCTCACTGCTGTCGAACTGGCTAAGGATGATGATGTCCGAAATAGAATTGACGACCTAGTTTTATTCCAAATACCACCTGCCGCAGATGGTCGAGTCACATCTGTTGTTCGATCGTTTTTTGTCCAGGATGCTACCATTCGTTTAGTAATTAAATCCGGAGCACCATCTTCTAATAAGAGCTTCACCGTCACAACTTGTAGACGCTCAGTTGCAGACTTTGAAAATCTTGCAAACTTACTCGCATTAGAACATCCAGCTTCTTGGCTCCCCTCTATATCCGACATGCGAACTCCATTTCAATTGATTTGCAAACCTTCAAGGGCAGTTCTGAGAGATATACAAATCCGTCTTGATAGCTTTTTAAAAATTTTGCTTTCTCACACAACATTTGCGACTCACGAGATGTTATGGGAATTTTTCCTTGTGCCTGATATCCAAGCTGATATGATGGAGCAACGGAGTAGGCTAAAAGCTCAAGCAAGGATAGAAAAGGTGCGCGAAGAATATGAACCAGTCGCTGATGTGAGGGATGTCGAACAATTTGTAGACCATGCTAGAGAAATGGTCCGCAGTGTCAATTATTCCACTAAGAGCGTCGCCCGAAGAGCTAATGTGATGTGGGTATCGACAGCAGGTGAATACATCTTTTTTAAAAATATTTTTCTACTTACACTGATTAGATCTCTACGATGCATACCACATTGTCTCCCATATTTTCTCTGCAATTGATGGCTTTCCTCAAACACATGTAACTGCTCTAGATGCATATATTAAATGCCTAGCGCCCTCGTCAAACCACCCTTACAATACTTTCCACTCGGCTGTTTTATCACTACACAGCACCATTGTCGCTATGCTGCTATCCTTATCTCGTCCTAACTCTTTAATTGCAACAATATTAACCTCTCGAAAAATGATTGAACGCTCTTACAACTCATTGAATCGTAGCACTCGCTGGCCACTTGGACTCCTTGATGAGACACGTCTACGGTTGAACGAGGAAAAGGAGGAACGTGTGCAAAAAGAAATTAAAGAAGTAGAGGAGGTTGGCCGAGAGCTGAGGTATACCTGGGGAGTTGTTGCAGGCGAGCTAGCCGGATGGGAAGAAGATCACGAAAAGATGGGCCGGAGCGCAGTGAAAGAATTGGTCAAGGGAATGGTTATCAGGGAAAAAAAAGTCCTGGAAGGAATAAACCGTGCTCTTCGAAAGCTAAAGGTTTCGACGACTCCTTCAACAAGAGGAATTCCCTTATCAAGCGACATTCATAACTTCAACTCCGCATCCAAAGTAAGGGGCGGATTGGAAATGGATATTGATGTGGCGGTAGATTTCTGAAGTTCAACAAGCAATTCAAACAGAATTGTAACTCTAGGTATCAACTGGGGCGTTTGGGAAGGCCATACGATATTACATCTACATGATCATATGAAGCGATCATATTTCCCCAAATTTCATCAACTATTCCCAAAGAATTGGTATCCAATGACCCGCTGGAGCCTAACTCACCTTGATTAAGATAGAAGAGTTAAGTGGCACATTTATCATGTGTTCACATCTCGTTCTTAGGAGAGTCGAGTACGATTGTTCTCTGAAAATCCTCGACCTGTCATCAAATACACGGCATTGTCAATGAATAAAGCATTGGCTTCTTGTACGGGTTGATAGTTCGCTAAGAACCAGTCAACTTTTGTCAAAAAATAAATTCAACAGGCCTCATTATTTCCAAACTTCCGCGTACTCTTTGACCGGTATATAAAATTGTCTGATAAAAGTTGTCAAAGATGACATTTACGGGTGTGACGTTACTCACCTCAGGGTGATCAAAGTGCGCAGTCTTACTTGCGCAGTAAACTGCTATGAATTGCAGAAAATCTATGCAAGCCTACGATGAAATCGCATCTCATATCCAAGCAAGTGGTCCTGATATCTCTTGTCGGATTGTGCCTAGTCCTTCGTAAGCCAGTCTCTGCCCTCTGAAAGCAGGAAATCTCCGGGGTCTTCATCTAATCCAAATCCATTTCTAGTCTCATTCTACGATCTATTGTCGCTCTAAATAGTAATTATCACCTCAGATCCTTATTCTTGATCTGAAAGTTCTTCTGTCAATCAGAGAGCTTATGATAGGCTAATGGAAATGGAATTCAAAGACCTGTCTAAAATAGAAAGGATATCTACAATGATGATGGAAATTTTTCAAAAAAGCTCTAGAGGTTATGATAATGAATCTTCTCTTCAAAATCTTGGAGACTTGAGCTTGTAGAAAAAGAGTCACTTTTCCCCTGAATTTTCCACGCTAAAATCCAGACATGATCTACTCGGGAGGATCAATAACTAAATCATCAGTATGAATTATTTGGAAGATTTTAACTAGATGACAATAATCACATTGAGAAATAAAGTAATTACTACGCAAGTCCCATTTACATACTCTCATAATGTGGATACGCATATACAGGTGAAGCTTGCTAATTTGGCATAGTATTCGATATGCTTCTCACTTTGGATACTATGTAAAAGACATTGCGACGCCACTGTGACGAACTATGAGATATTAGAGATATGGCTCAATCACCAGTTAGTAGTGTAAAATAGCTCCAATCTACATGAAATTACTCTGCAAAACTCGTTATATACTCTGACCCGTTTTGAAAGATCAAACCCAGCACATGATCTCAGGTATAGGACTTGGTTTTTTATTCATTTTTTCCTTCAAAATTATTCACTTTAAAAACTAACATATTTCTTCTAAGCACTAAAAGATCAACGAGAGTTTTCAATCAGTTCTGCGAAACATCTCTGTGTGATGATTTATAGACGTGAAATCAGAGATAAATGTCAATTATTTGCCAGTAGTTGCACTTGTACTCGGATATCAGGACCTATGGCTCAGAATCATTGCCAATTACATCAAGAGCTTGTGTGAGGCACTGTAGTAGCTCTTGATCCTGCACTGCCACTTGCACTGCCTTGACGAACAGGATATATAATTTGTCTAAATGCTTTCTCTCTCCTCTATCTACACCTGTGCTGTATGGTATTGCTCTAGGCTCACATCTCAGGCATACTAGCGCTCTGAGTATATATATTAATTCATTTCGTTGAGTCAAGGGTTGAGGCATTAGACCACGTAATGGTTGGTCAGCAATAAAAGATCGAAGCGTTAGACCAGTTCTTAGTATTAAGTAAGGTGCAGCAGCTTGAGCAAGCTTTATTCTCGCTTCTGAGCCATCGTGTATACGAGTTAGAGACACTAACTCATCAAAGCATACGTAACTCATTTTTGAGCGGCACGACGGAGTTATATCAACAGTTTGTCCTTTTTGGGGTTGTGAGAGGATAGCCAGTATTTCTTGATGAGAGTAAGGTAGTTCATAAAGGAGGGGCGTATGAACCAGCGACATTTGAAACAGACATTCTGTGTATGCTCGGCGTGTTTCATCAGAAATTATGAGTGATCCTAAAGCTGGGGTCATGAGCTTGCGAAGAGCAAGGAAACATTCAATATCATATTTTTCATCAATTTTGATCCTTGTATCTTCTTCGAATCCTGTACAATCAGCTTTTATGATGCCATTGCCGATTTCAACTATGGATGACCATACTACTTGTACTATCTCATCATTTAAATTTGAGTTATTGATAAACGGTATGATTGATTTTAAGGAAGAAAGGACCGATGTTGTTGCTTGCTGCCAAGGCGGAAGACTTTTTGTTATGATAGGAAAAGAATATTTCAGAACTATAGGAGTTTTAAAAGCTTCAAGAGACTCTGAAATAGCACCAGATGTATATATTTCTTGATCCGAAGAATGTGTCACTATCAGTCTTTCTAGAATATCCATTGAAGATTTTGATAGCGCCACAAAAGTAGGTTGTCCATGCTTAGATCCTGTCATATTGCTAGGCTCAAAGGCTAGTTCCACAATCTCTGCCACCTGCCGTATTAGCAGGGAAGGCACCCCCTTAACATCTGAACGCATCATCTTGAATAAATCCACAACTTTTGATTGTAAGGGGGTAAGGTGATCAATATCGGCGGAGTATGTTGTAATATTTGCATGTCTTACTGCCTGTTGAAGGAGTGCAAGCATTGTTTTTACTTTGGATGTATCGAGCCTAAACTGAATCAAGCGATAAATTTCTTCCAATGCTGAAACATATGCCACTAAACACTGCTGATTATCTGTGTTTTTTTTGTCTGTTTTGAGCGAAGAGATTGGTAAAGATTTGGACCAAAGATCCCAGGCCTGATTGACAGCGCTGGCATCAAAATTTGTCGCACAACTTTCATGAAGATTCCCTTTAGATAATATTTGTCGTAAAGCATTAAATACTGCAGTGTTAATATCGAGGATCTGGAACTCGAGTAGTCTATTGAAATGCTGTAGTAGAGTTTGCCATGATTTACCAAAAGAAGAGTGAATAGAAAGTACATCTATATAATCTGCAAAAAGATTGGTGAGCCCAGTAAGGATAACTACAGTAGTTCCGTGCCAACCGGTCTTGTCTTTATCTGAAACAAAATTTTCAGAATCTTCAGTTGTTGACTTGAGCCTCTCTTCGATAGAAAAGAGTAGATTAAATATTACAGATTCTAAACAAATTGCCCAGGCATTGGAACTTAATCGATCTCCATAAGCATCGAATATTCGAAGAAGTGTTTGTATAGCACCTGTCATACTGTCAGCAAAGTTTTATTGTAGTGACTACGCCATACTATTCCTCAATTCAAGACGATCATCCGTAGTCACCGCTGCAAGTCTTAGTAACAATAACATCCATAATGCAGCATCTGAGACAGCAAGATCCTCGCCCCCTGCCATCTTAATAAAGTCTGGAACTTCAGAACCACAAACCAAATCAGCGCTCCAGGAAAAAAAGTTTGTGCGTCCAGAGATAAAGTCTGATAAAACCCAAAAGAAAGTCACCGTCTATAAAAATTAGCTTTGTTGGAGATTTTCCTTACTTTCTTCTTACCGTAAGAGATATATTCAAATCATCATTCTGAGTACAAAAATTATAAAGGGTATCAACTAGAATTATAAAGCATCGGTTAGGGAATGACGAGAGGAAATCAGAGCAGATAAGTTCGAGAGAATTGAAAGAAGATCTCGTAAGCTTTGCTGAATGAGTTTTTGTCACATTGGATTCTATCGTGGTAGAGCCGACTTTGAGGCTGTCCGTGACAAAAACACTACCAATTATGGCGAAAACAATATCCCAACCATTCAAAAGACATTCCCCACATTGTTCTAGTATACTTTTTAAGCCTTCCAAGATAATTTTGTGAACATTGACATCGGTGGAATGAACAGCTACTGACATTTCTCGCTCAACAGAGCTTAGAGATTGCAAAGAATTTCTTAGAGTGTCAAGAAACCGTAGTTGAATGACGCTATTCTCAGTGATTGAAAGAGGGATGGCTGTTGTTGCTGCTTCTAGAATAAGACTTGTCAAAATTTCAGCTGCTGCTAGTCTGACTGACGCTGGAGCTGTAGACGAGCATGATGCTAGTATTAATTCAGATGTAATAACATCCCATCCGCCGATATCTGCAGGGTGCGATATCAATCGATTAATATTGATACTTGCAACATCTCCAATTTTTTTTAGTGCAAATAGATCTTTCTGACTATGAATTATAGGTGAAATGACGACACTTGTATTTCTGTTACGTGAATGCGTCTGCGCCTTTATCTGAGAAGCTACTTGGGGCTTTTGATCTTCACTTTGGATTATGTAGGTTTCATCCTTTAAAAGGGAAGATAGAGCTATTATTACTTCTAAAAAAGCATTGTTAGGGTAATCCGTTGTGCTCTCGATCAGTCTCGCTGCAGCTGTTTCTACAGCCTTAATCTCGGACCCGAGGTTAGCCGAGAGAGTAATAGCGTTTTCGTTAATACTCTGGTTTTCAGTCTTATGGATAGCAACCGTGGATCCCGGTATAGAGTTTGATAGCATGACTAGATCAGCATTTTGGAGAGTGCCAAGAATAATTTCCCAACCTGAGCTCAGGGTCGGCCCCAAGGCAATGCCTAAATTCAATAAAGCCCTTAGGCATAGTAAATTTCTTGTATTAAGGGATGCAGATGTGGGCTCTATAGATGGTTGTCGTCCTTTTTCCTGAATTAGACTTTCTCCACTGAGCAATCCTTTCGCATTGCTTAGGATGCCTTGTTTTTCTACATGTTGAATCGCGGGAAGAGATGTGACAGGTAGATTCGAAACTAGAAGGTTTGGAGGAACGGCAGCTTTTCCTAATGTCGTGAGAAATGCATCTCTGGGTGTTGAAAGATGCAGGAGCCCAGCAACATGAGTGAATTTCTGAAAAGATCTAACAAGGCTATGATAATATTCTGCATCTAGTGCAGAGTACAAAAAGGTTGAGCAGCTGGCTAGTATAGCAGGCCAGCACTGATCCACAATGCCTGCGCATATTTTAATTTCATGAAACAGATGGTGACTAGTTAGAGTCAATGGATTGACCCAAATTGTATTTTTCTTGGTAAAAGTTGGTTTCTCCAGCTCTACCTTTGTATCTTTGGGTGATAGATTTGGATCAAATTCCTTAAGCTTGCTTTCGGGCAGTTTAAGCTTTGATGACGACCTTTCAGAAGCAGTTAGAGGAAGAATAAATTTTGCGAGTCCCTCTGAAAAGCCGTTAATGCAAGCTAGCGTTAAGCTGTAAATATATGTTACAGGAACCAATGGTGGGTCTGTTTTATCTAGTTGTTCAATGCATGGAAGCCGCATAGTACTCCACTGTGTGCTAATACCGACTCCTGGGTCACTTGAGCTTACAGCGCTTCCAATTATTCCTGGAACACCGCTTGCTTCGAGCATCGCCTGGTCCGTATCACTGCTATTGCCGTGGTTTGCGAATGGAATAGAAGACTGTAGGCCCAAACCTATTATAGATGGCTTTTCTGAGCTTATCCGGACTAATGCTGCCACAAGGTCTCGTAAAATTGGTTTCCTTCCCTCCTGGGCATCATACATCGCGAAAATTTGTCTAATAAGTGCCGCGTCAGAGAATAATCCTCTGAGAACTTCCATACACAGGGACCGTTTCCATAGTGCTGTATCATGGTCGAGCATGTATGTAAGAAGACCTAAAGCCATCTCGCCCTCAGTAGATAGAATGCTGAGATTAAACCGTAGTAGTGAGTACAGGATTCGTGTTATTCTCACGGTAACTGCAAAGTTCAGCTTCTCGGAGAGGGAGCTGATGATAAACGGCATTACCCTGGATCGAAGAATACTAGCTTGTTCCTGATGGGTCAAGAAAACCTGAGAGTGATTGGTCAAGACTGATTCAATTAATTCTAGGCCAAATGTCTTTGGAATGCTTGCTGATCTAAGAAAAAGTGGTCTTTGAGATTCAGTCATTAGACATAAATCATTGAATAGTCTGCAAGCATCAAGGGCTGCTGCGCGAAGCGGTATTGGTCCATTCTCACTGGGAGCTTCGCCCGCGATTGGAGCCTCTTTGGAGATTTCTATAAGCAGTCAGACGAGGTTAAGTACCAGGCAACACGCAGACTCACTATCCTCAGTGACAACTTTTTCAAAAATAGTAAGCACAAGCTGTTGTAAAGTTGCTGCTGCTGTGTTGGTAACAATTCCATTCTTGCTTCCTTGCAAGATAGTGCAGATACTTAATGCAGTTGCTATTAAGTCTCCCGTCAGATCATTTGCATAGTTTTGAAGTAGAGATGGCAGTGCTTGAAGGATTTTAAGCTGAACATCTAAGCCGGCCGGACTAGCTCCTCGAAATGCCTCCAATATTTCACCTAGTCTTGATTTTGGCAGTGCACGTGATACGGCTAATCTCTGCAAGCAAACAATCGCGATGCTTGTGTATTTGACATTCTTTGTTCCACAGGCAATAATAAATGGGTTTACGAATTGAAGCCGAAGGGAAAGATCTAAGCAGCTTAGCTTGTAAGTAGGATCGGTATGAGGAATGCGTACCGGCAGCTACTTGAGCCTCAGAGGATAGCCGCAGGGTTTTCAGCTCCTCCAATGATTTTTCGGCGGCCTTTAAATATGTTGGTCGTGGACTCAGAAGGGTGAAAACCACTGTTCCATGGAAATCGACTTACGTTTCTAAGATCAGCATGTTTTCTCTTGCTCTCCTGTATAAGATTCCCCAATTCTGAAGTCAGTAACTGAGCTGTCATGTTATCCTTTTTGATGCCATTGGCAACCCTTCGTTACCATAAATAAAGTTGTAATTTTTCTAGAATAAATTTAAAGGTGGATTCTGTCCTGTCATGTTTTGAAGGACATATGCTTGATTCATTTTACATACTCCTACTCATAGAATTATTAAGTCCACTCTAAGGTGTGATGGTATTACTTGCATTCCTAATAGTAAGGTTTGTATTTATGAAATTTGTGGGCGTGCATTTAAAATAAATATGCCCAAGCAAGCGTTAAGGCTTATCGGCAAACATGAGCTTATCGAGGCGAAACTTTAAACCAATTAAGCGCCATGCTTGATCCAAGAGTCGGTAGCCGTGTTGACAATCGCTGCCCCTCACTCAGTCTACAGTTTTAGTCAACTTGAAGCGCCTTGAAACGACTCCAGATTGGTTAATTGATCACCCAACAACACGAGTCTGCTGCTTCACAGCTGCCTCTTGTTTAGATAAGTGAGGTCTTTCGTGATCTGCACAGAGTTACACTTTCAAGTTCTCTATTAATAAATAGGAAACCTACTCGATTGCAACATGTGCAGTGCGAAAATACCACGTAACTTTAGGCTGCTAAAAGAGCTGGAGAAAGGCGAGAAAGGACTTGGTGTTGGTGAGCAATCTTACTTTTAAAATAAGACTTTTATTAACTCTCATATGTAGAAACTTGCTCTTATGGCCTTGTTGATGGAGACGAGATGCTCATGTCAAATTGGATGGGCACTATAATTGGTCCTCCACGTGTAAGATATCCATCAAGTTTTGTGGAATAAAATGTTATTAACATAGAAATTTTAGAGTGCACATGAGAATCGAATATATTCCTTGAAAATGTATTGTGGTGATCAATATCCTGATAAGCCACCTACCATTCAATTCGTGAGCCGAGTTAATCTACCTTGTGTAAATCAAAAGAATGGAAAGGTTGATCCAACAAAACTACCCTGTTTATCAAACTGGAATAGCAGTATGACGATGGAGACTGTATTAACTGAGCTAAGACAGTAATTGTTACCCCATGAAGATTTTATCCCAAGCTAATGCCATTAGCTCCATGGCTCTTCCTGCAAACAAGAAATTACCTCAACCACTCGAAGGATCAGCCTATCCGTAGAATTTTCACTCGTAGCTACAAACCGATTCCAATCACCTGCCAAAAAGAGGAAATTGTCCTAGGAAGCAAATAGTTTGCCGCATTCAGCATGACATTTTTAAGTTCAATTTGTCTAGTGGTTCTAAGTACATGGAAACTGAGGATGAAGCTAGTTCCGTAGATCGGGACAGAATCGATACCGAAATCTTACCAATGTTTTCACTTCTCACAAATAAAAGCATGCCGTGCAAAAATCGACCAATAAATTCGCGTCATTCACAGAAATGAAACGTTGCGGACTTCATTCTGGAAAACTATTGCGATTAAAAGGCTTTTGCCTATTTGAAACTGATAATCACTGGAGCTCACTAGATTCGTTGATGGCTCTATTGCCCCAAGTGTGTTGCTCGGCATGATTTTGTTCTCCATTTCGGTCTATTACCGGGTATATATAGTAGCCCTACGCTTAGCCTCGTAGAAATTTATCAATCTTTTATGTTCAAAATCACGTACTTTATCCATCAGCAACTTACTACTTTGGGAAATTGTAGTAACGATGGCTAACTTAGAAATCCTAAATATTTTAAGCTTAACCTTTACTTTGCACTATTGCTTGCCTTGCAATATGAGGCATTTTTGCCCTAGAGAATCAGTTGCTCTTTACAGATCTCCGAAATCACATCAATTTTCATGAGCTAGCCTAGTTAGACTTCTCATTTATTTCGGCTTTAATACAACTCTAACTATTCATGATATATCAGTACAATCCTTCATGATACACATGGACGCTCTTCCGCGCCTCAAGTACGCCGGTCTCCAAAATTAAAATTTTCTGATAAGTAGAATGTATAGATCATGGCTAGAAGCTAAGACGGATAAATTTATACAAGGCTGGTGAAAAAAAATATAATTCAACATTGAAATTTGTCTCAGGATCTCAATTGCCACACAAATACATAAGCCAGTCCATCAGAAGTCTCGTTTTAGTTATCGTGATGTAGAAGGACTGACTGTTAGAATTAGCATAATTTTCGTGAGTTTTATTTTACTGAAATCTATAACTAGGTAGTTATTAATCAATTCACAACAAGGACTATGGATAAGGTCAAAATTTTTTTGCTAGAAAGCTGCGCAGCGTTCCACGCTTCCTAAGTTATCAATTTGACTTCTTGAATTTCGACTTTAGATTTCCTTGACCCTCCCCCCATTATCCAACACTCAGTGCTGTTGTAGATGAATCCTGAGGCTCCGACGCATCGGAAATGCGACAAGAAAAGAAAATAGTGGAATCCAGACACCTCCAACGGATAAAACCCCTAAGATTTTGGGGAACTTATAAAGATGGTCAAATAGATTGTCTTGGGTGAAGTGTAGGAGGACTTACCCACCATGGAAGAGTTACGTATGTGATGTATTTTTTTAATTCATTTTACTGTCCATTTTGAGTCAATGACTGTGTAGGACATGCAGGTCCTCTCTGCCTACAGGCCAAGGATACCTATGCAAGTAGTATATCCCCTCCTATGCCTCTCATAAAGCTCTCCTCAAACAGTACCACTCCTCACAAGCTCTTCTTCGATCATACACCTAGAGCTCTTAGCCCTTCATTATCTCCCCTCTCCAGCCTACGAAACAATGGCCATTTGCGCGTGTATGGCAGCCGGGAAAAATCGCAAAAACCACTGGGTGCGGAGCTCTCCTAATACCGACATTAGGACTAAATCCGAAGACATAGTGATCTTCATGAAGCGTTCGGAGAGGCCGGGCAGCTGGGCGCTGCAGACTTGTGAGTACCTCGGGAAATTCACCCTCTGCCTTTCTAGTCTCATCCCAACTCCTTCCCCGAAGGTCGTGCTGAAATGTCAGAAAAGTCTTGACAGAGCGTGATTGCTGTATAGTAGCTTAGCCTAACTTCTTTTATACCGTCCAGGGCGCTGGGGAGTGCCGTTGACTCATCGACAAAAGAAGCCCTCCTGGCTAATTAGCCGAAATCTTGGTCTTGACGCCCACAAAAAATCCAAAGTTGAAAACTCTTCGAAAATGACAGTCCCAGCATGGTCTTCAGAGACTTCTTTCTCCTCTCGCTCCACATCTCAGCCGCTTGTTCTTCCTCAAGATGTATAACCCCATTAGAGCAGCAGTCCCTCATAAACCAAGACCCCAACTTTGTATTTTTCGACTTGATTTCCTCCTTGCGGGTATAAATAGCGTCGTAAATATGTAGAGAGTGATGGCCGGTAATGAATGAGGCAAGCTCCTGTTTGCAATTGGGGTGACGCCTTTATCGGTCGGCGAGGCGAGTTGATATTTGGTTAGATCGGGGTTGAAGACTCAGAAGATAATGATGAGTGCTGCATGGTTGAGAAGTCGTCAAATGGAGTTATACATGTGTTTGCTTTCGACTTCGATTCGGATGCGATTCTTCTTGGCTATCCCAGATATGCAGAGCATACTGAGCGATTACACCGGCACCACTGGAAGGTGAAGAATTCGTCTTTGCTGGCGGCGCAGGGAGGTTATTGAGGGTTTTTTATGCCTAGATGGCGCCACACTCGTTTATGCTGTGGCTTAGGCTCTGTGTCGCTTACACTTGTACTTGTAGCGCACACTTCCCACACTTTTAGCTGTAATCCGAACATGACACTCTTTTAGTCAACTTCTACTTTCGTTCCATGAATATAGCGCCCATTACATTGCGCGATATTTCCAACAGAGATCGGGTGGTCTGGTCTCAAACGCCCAACGATAAATAGCATGCTAACCCCACCAAAGGCACATTTATGTGGCATGATCGACAAGGCTGTCTTGATGAGACTACAAGCTACTTTCCCGGCAATGAGGACGACAGCGAACTTTTTACTGCATAGAGAAGGAGGAATTCCATCAGGCAAAATCATTCTGGAGGGTCATCGACTTCGACTCTCAGTCAGGCTCAAAACTCTGGATGAACGCCATCCGCTGAGGACTCGTGCGGCTGTTTGCCCAAATATAGGCACGCGGAAATACAAAAACAGAAATCGAGCGACCTCGGTTCCTGAAGTAATAATGTCACGAGTACAACGAGCGTACCGACAATTACCAGAGGCGGAGGGTGCGAAAGCACTACCACCTACATCCTACTTACCGAAAGCAGGATCTAAAGAACAGCGAATTAAAATCTATAGACGATAAATCAACCAGGTGTCGAAGTCGGAAATTTGTGCCTACTCGGATGTCTCATCGGAAGGGAATGGACGCTCTGCGTGGGGTTTCTTTCTAAAGAGAGACGGGTAGACTTTGCTCATGGGAAGTGGCATCAGGCATAGGGGGGAGGCTTTAGATGCGGAAATCACCGGGGCAAGGAAGGCTATTGAAGCAGCATTGGGACTCCAGAGCGCTACACAACGAGTCTACCTTCTACTAGATAGTCAACAGGCGATCAACGCGCTTGAGACAGGCAAGTCCACGACAAGCTACGATGAAGTACGGAAATTTCGTGAGCTGTCCAAATCAGCTCACGTGATAATGAAATGGGTACCTGGACATTCAAGAACTCAGGGTTACCTAGAAGCTGACTCGGCTGCCCGGTCTGGCCTACGGATGTTGCCTAGCTTAGAAGTACGGCCAGAATCCATCATTCTGGCATTTCTCGATCGCCAAATGAAACTTTTGCGGCAAGTATTGCTCGACGAATGGTGGAACAAAGCTTGCCCGCCGCGATATCGCAAGGTCGACCTGCTCATGCAACGACAAAAACTACCTGAGCTAGAATTTTCGAGGTACCTACTCCGAAATCCGATTGCAGCTCGTACGGGCCATGGAAATTTCGCGGCGTATCATCGCCGTTTCAATAATCTGGACGCTTTCATGAAGTGCACCTGTGGGGAGGAGATCACTCCAACCCATTTCATTCACTGTCGACTACATTCTCACGTTACGCGTCGACTCAGAGGGAGATTGTCACATAGTGACTTCATTCAAAAGCTTCTCGGGGCAAAGTGTCCCGAGAATTTCAAAAACTTTGTTAAGGAAACCTGCTGTTTTGGGTTTCCATCTACAAATTCGTCTTCTGATCTCATCGAGGACCAGATAAATTAGTCATACAGATGATATGACAGGAAGGAATACAAGGCGAGAAGATTTGTTTTCTAACCAGAAATTGGTAAATCTGTAGGGCTGGATAGTTTTGTGGGTAGGAGTTTGGTTTCAAAGGTTGAATTTAATGTACGGTTGCGAATTTTAAACTAGCTACTTATTGTTTAGTGGTTCACGCGGTGGGATCAAGTTGGGCTTATCAGAGATAGGATCTTGGCTGTGAAAACCGGTCCTTGACTCTTCGGAGAAAGGGAAAACAGACTGTTCAACACCTACTTCTTTATCGTAGTAAGTTTAAGACTGAAAGAAAGAAAGCTATTAAAGGTATATTGCCATTGAGATTAGAGATATTGTTTAATACAAAAAATAGAAAAGAAGTGTTAGAAAAATACTCTGTGGGATATTATATGGATAAATATGATGAAGTAAAAAAGACTTGATATTTTACATCTATGGGAACATTGGACTTATATATTCATCTTAGGGGAGAAATTCCCACTAGTCTCGTGTGACTGTCAAACCTGGTGATGACCAGCCACCTCTCATCTACCATGATGAGCCAAGATACACTATCCTACGTAAACATCCAAACGTATATGCAATAGTAGGTGCGAATAGCGCACTCGTGACATGTGTAGAGAGAGTCGATCTTGTCGGGAACCTGAGACGAAACAGATAGTGGTTGAGTCATAAATTCGAGAGTCAGAATTTCCAACAAGAAGCAACTCTCCACTTCCCTCAAAGCAGTGGCTGCATGAATGCATCCAAAGCTGACTGAAATGGAGGAGACTAGAAGATAAGTAGAGGAAATGGGGATTAAATACTTCTATTTAGATACAAAATAATCAGATATGTCATAGCTAGATAGCTGAATACACTATAAATTAAAAAAAAAGACTCTTCGGGGATAACGGGTTAGACCTAGGACCTAAATGAACAAACAATCG